CAAAGGTTTCAGATTGATACATTTTGAGGCCCACTTGGGCGGATTGTAGGCCTATTCCAAACTTGATTCCTGTTACCCTTAGCCTTGGTAACAATAAAAGTAAAAGAGAATGACTTATTACCAAATGGGACACGTACTTCGCCGGTCCCTTGTATATTGGTGTAGGGGATTTACATGTTGTTTTGCAAAAGATCAAGTGTTTGTCTTTTGTGAAGTGTGTATGGATGTGAATGTATGTCGATGTATGCTTCCTCTAATTTTGTAAAAAGCTCATAATTATCCCAGTGAAGTGATTTCAGTGATTAGTATTAATTGTATAAATTCACTTCCATGGTAAAATCATATGAATCACTGTTAAGTATCATGATAAATGATAAAACGCACAATAAATGTAGATATGTTTTCTAGTCCCTCAGCCTACTTCCCGTAGCTGTGGGATCTACTCGAGGCTTTTCGGACAATAAACACTGTCAATTATGAAACGTGTCACAAGAGTTTATGCATATCGTATTCATAGTGTAGGTTTTAAAGTACCGTCTCCCAACTACGCTTGTTGTCAACAGGGTTAGAAACTGACAGTTTTTGGCCACTAGTCCTTATAATGATAACATATAGCAAAACCTTTGAAATGGGCCAATTTCTACTAGTCCATAGGATACCTTTACTACTGGGCAGTTTGGTAAGGACTACAGGACTAGTGCCAATTTCTAACGCTGTGTCAAGGGGGCTGGTAAAGTACATCTTTCATGTTCCATAATGTCCAAAGGGGACCAAATTACCAAATAACGTTGCAATAATTTGATTTGGCAGCTAAAACACAAGCACGCCGTTTCTTTTAATAAACTCAGTCTATGTTCTGGTCTATACAATGAGGATAGGTAGGATTTTGTATTTTATTGTATTTATTTTATTGTAGCTCTGGAAGATCTCCACAGGTTTAGGACCTCCCCGGCCCCCGTCTCCCAAACGAATCTTCCTGCCCCAGATCCTGTAGGTCATCATTAGGTTCAAGTTGTGTGAATGTGTCCTATAAATAAGAAAAACATATTCGAGAACAGTTGCAGCTAACGTTCGAAACAAGTCAAACATTACAAAGACAAATACCGTATTCGACGTAATAAGCGCCCCGCTCTAAAGCGCCCACAGCGGTATTTGCTCATATATTGGCTAGTGAACAATCCCAATCAGCACCCCTTCCGATTGATCAATGTTCACAAGACTTGTTTATTCGCGTACAATACTCACTCGTGTGTAATATGCACCCTTAATTATGGGCAATTAAATTCTAGAAAAATATATCTGTCGTATATAAACATTTCAGGCTTTCAGCATAAACCACGAAATGTATCTTTCAACTCTGTTTCTTTTCACCAAAATAATATTCTAATAAGAGCCCCCTATTTCTAATTTTGAGAGCTCCCTGGGCGCTTATTACGTCGATTACGGTATTACATATTCAGTAGTCAGGAAGCGTCTTACAATCAGTACTCGTTTCTAACAAACAACACAGATTTCCATTTTTCTGCCACTTCCTTACATAGCCAAAGCCCTTATTCTGAAATGTATGATAAAACTTACATCCGAATACATGGCCTTTTCGCCAACACCTGTTACCACCACAATTTGATAGTGATTCGGAAACACATGCCCCTAATATAGTCGGGCTCGTACAAGTGAAGATTTCTTGTGATTATGGGATGTTTATGTCGCTTTTACTCTGTTTGTCGGTAGGTAATTTGTCTTCACTTGCTTCTTTGTTTAAATGTCCAGGTAAAACAGAGTATTAATGAAGAAAATGGTCGAAGTTCTCAATTCACTCTCGATTATTAAATACCTATTTCAATGATTAAGAAATGTATTTCCTCTCTATTAGCGCCCCAGTGTCTTCACCATCACTGTCAACCCCCTCTCATCCCAGCCCGACCCCCAGACCTCCCTCCCCGTCCCTGCCCCCAGAGCCCGCCCTCAAGTTGTGGAGATAGATCTTGGTGAAGAAACCATGCAGCCCCAGTCATGCTCGGCCGTCCTTGTGTCCTGTGTGAAATACATTTTCCAGAGATTCTTCACGGAGAGATAGACTTTGGATTTATTTGCTCTGCCAGTTTTTTTTACCTTTCGGACGAACCATTTGGACTATATTGGCTAATCTCCTTTAAATGTACATGTTTATGATAAAAGTTGTTGCTTGAAGAAAGCGTCATGAATATTCGTATTTTATTATTATTCACCGCGTTTTCTGCATTCCTTGTGAAAACCGATGACAAGCGTGAAACGAATCGAGAGATGGCTTCGTAGGTGGTCCATGCCAAAGGCTTGCTTCAAACCTAGTGTTATTTCAAAAGTCGACTAAGATGGCGATGGTGGATAAAATCCTCGGTTTTCCTTTTATGATAATGTAAGAATTTGTTTTCTGTGTCAGAGAAGTTTTGGACTTTTTTCGCACACATGCATTTTGTTTTGAAAAATTAAAAATTTAATCAAATTAATTCTCCTAATAAATTACTTGAAATCAATGTGTTTTATATCTTTATGTGCCTCTGACCCGTGAAGATTCCGGAGTAGAATAGGTCTTCAGCAACCCATACTTGCCGTAAAAGGCGACTAACGGGATCGGGTGGTCGGGCTCGCTGACTTGGTAGATGCATGCCATCGAGCCCAATTGCGTGGATCGATGCTCGTGATATCAATCACTGGATTGTCTGTTCCAGACTTGATTATTTTACAGACCGCCGTTATATAGCTGGAATATTGCTGAAATATTGCTGAGTGCGGCGTTAAACAACAAACCAACCAACAAAACCACTGCAGCCATCCAGTCGTTATTTAAGCACGGTATGGAATCGCTGAACGGCAGATTTCAATTGCACCATCCATAACATACAAAATGGCGGCCATTTTTATGACATACATGAACACAATTAGGTCCACAGATTTTGTTTACGCGACTTAAATATGTACTTGACTGTGCAGTGTAATTATATCTATGAATTCTGTGTAATTTAAAGGTCAAGTTACCAATCAGCGTTAGAAATTGGCACTAGTCCTATAGTCCTTGCTGAACTGCCCAATAGTTAAGGTATCATAAGGACAAGTAGAAATTTGCCCTTTTTTAAGGGTTTTGCTATATGTTATCATTAAAAGGACTAGTGGACTAAAACTGTTAGTTTCTACCGCTGCTGGGTACAGTTGAGCAAAATATACACTGAAATTCGACATCATAATCTTTACATCAGAAAATGAAAATGATATTGCTCATACAAACAAATATTTTCTAAATATAGACAACCTTCATACAAAACTGAAGACAATGTTGAAGAAAACTCCGTACGTTCTCAGGAAGTATCTATTGGAACAGAAAGGATAAATATGCAATGAACGAATACATCATTTTCATTTTAAGGGATTGAAAAAAATATGCTTTGAACTGGGGTTGCAATATACTTTCACGAATAATTTACAAGAAACGACTTCTAATTTTAGATTGATATTGAACCATTAAAGCCAGATTTCAAATGCTACTGCTATCATCTTAGTTACGAAATCTTTCAGTGTAATAAACCACTGTGTAGAGGCCCACCGTAGTGAACCACTCAAGTTTGGTAACTGGTAAGCAACCTAGTTCGGAATTCCATCTACATTCCATATGAAATACGCCATTCGTGACCAACTCGTGTTATTCCGGGACAAGCCGAACTCGTGTTATTCCGGGACAAGCGGAATAGCGACTCGTGCCCCTATCATGGCCATTTTTGCGACCGGGTTCCGTCTTCGCCCAAACGGGCATACCTAAAACAATTGTCAACTCGTTGCGTAATTGTCCACATTTATTTCCCCATATATTATATATATTTCAGATGCAATTTAAAGCACATCGGGACATGCGGAATGATACAGTATGATTGAACACATTTAATTGTGCCTTGGTTATATTTTTAGATGCAAGACATATGCAAAATCAAAGTTTATTTCTGGGGGATTCTTTGACGAAGAACCTGAAATTATACGCGCATTCTGATTGGTTTGTCGTATTTTCACACATAACATTCATCGATAGGGGGACGAGTCTTCTTGCAGGTTACGGAAAGAGGCGAGTAGTGACGAATAGAAATACGCAGCTCTAGACAAATTATTTGTACAGTTGGGAGAACAAAAATTGGTTTTGCAAAATTTACAAGTAGGCAGCTGGTTACCAATGCGGATCAATCCAGATGTCAAGGTCAAAGTATACGAAAACCGCTGTTGGATCAAATTAAAAAATAAGTACGAGTTAATAGCAGATATGTGTATCTGCTTGTCTTTAGAGTCTGAGGTCCAACGAAATATCAGTAACTTTGATATCATTAATAAATGATTCATCCACTAATGACAGTACAATGACAATATCCACCTTCTTCTTACAACAATAAATCAATTAAGCGAAAATAACCAAATATATAAGCATCACAGTTGCAAAAGACTGTAAAAAAGTCAATCCGTGTGTCCAAGATATACAGGATAATCAGACGCTGGATCAATGCTTCTGCTTACTGCGGTTTCAACCATTTCTCGTGACCCCCGCCGTATTGTTTAATGACAAATATTATCTGGAATTCCAATGGTTGCACTACAAGTCACTAATGTTTGCATTCCTTCGGACTTTTCATATGGTTTAATAAAGATATAACTTCAGTGTATGCATGACCACATTGTTTAAGACATGTATCTGAATACGTTTTGCCAGGGCTGTGGTAAAACAATACCCAATCGGACATTTTGTACCCATCTCTTGAGTGAGTGAGTGAGTATGGTTTAACGCCGCTTTTAGCAATATTCCAGCAATATCACGACGGGGGACACCAGAAATGGGCTTCACACATTGTACCCATGTCGGGAATCGAGCCCAGGTCTTCGGCGTGACGAGCGAACGCATTAACCACTAGGCTACCTGACCGCCCCTGAAGAGCAGAGAGTGTCACATAATGAAAAGCATAGCTTTGCTATAATGTATAAAAACATGAAAACGGAATTAAATTGCTTTATTTCATTTACTTCATTTATCACAAGCAATGTTTGGAGTAAACACTCATATATACCAAGCATTCGATAAATAACATGTCGTAGTTAGGGTCATCACACCCTGAAGAGCAGTGAGCGAGTATGGTTTTACGCCGCTTTTAGCAATATTCCAGCAATATCACAGTGTGAAGCCAGAAATAGGCTTCACACATTGTACCCATGAGGAATGGAACCCGGGTCTTCGGCGTGACGAGCGAACGGATTAATCACTAGGCTACCTGACCGCCCTTGAAGAGCAGAGAGTGTCACATAATGATATGTTAAGTGATAACAAGCAATTGTATGGTTAACATTACTCGGAGGCGTCCCCGTGCTTGAAAGATGTGCTAATACCTGCAACAGTCGCAGATATAAATCAAGAGGTTGTCATCAGTACAGTTGCTTCATAACCTTACACAACTTACAATGCCAATCAAAGAATTTGCGGTCAAGCCATGTGATTCACGTTATAAAGAGTGAGCGAGTTGGGTTTAACGCCGCTTTTAACAGTATTAGTTATATCGCGGTGTGCCAGCTTAATGCGGGAGAAAAGCCCGAAGTGATGCAGGTCTCAGACGTTTACCACTTCGGTGAATCCTATGAGCACGGATATGGTGCTGACCAACCAAGAAACATAACCGGGGCGAACCAGGATTCGAACCCACAATCATAGGTTTCTGGTGTGCCCAGTGGACGCAACTCCGCACAGTGACTTGCGCCCTGGCGCCCGCCCGCGATGTTCGTGCTAAGGCAATCGTAGTAACATTTATACGATATCTGTAGCGCTAAAATCGTGAAACGGGACCCACAACACCAGCCTCATTGGTGACTAGCAAGAGAAGCAGAAACACAGGGACCTACCATATCCTAAAATTACCATGCATAAAAAGTATCTTGAATTGTGATTAGTCACTGTTTAACGTCGCACACACAAATATATCCCAGCTATATGGCGGCGGCCGTTAAATACTCGAGTCAGAACCATATAGCAATGATTATTCAACAGCCTTATTGAATAGGAAACATTACCACTGCATGAACTAGAGTGTGGTCGAGTTATCTCTCCTCCCAAACGAATATTACCAAATAGAAGTAACAAAAAACTTTCACTTTCGAAAGGAACCAAGTTTGGTTTTTTTAATTCAGAATGACAATGTTCATATGACAGTGTTCAATCTTAAGCATGTTAAGCATGTAAATCACAACCCTAAAAAAGCGTTGAAGATCATGGGAGTCCCTAGATTCAAATACTGCAATAAAAAACAACAACAATGGACCCCGCTTAATTTCAAACACTGACATTAATATCAACAATCACTCCCCATTGTATTTTTCATAACATATGACAGTGCTCGATACTAACACTGGTCCGAGTCCAGTATATTTTCTTAAGGACCAGTAAAACTAAACAAATGGTGGTCCAGTGGTATTTTGGGAAGGAACAAAGTAGGTTTGTATGACTTTGAAATTTGGATAGATCAAGTCTTAACTCGAAGCTCCATTGTGATTAGTAAGATCCAACAGGACCAGTTGATTTTTTTGTGCTGGTCCTTTGGACCAGTGACAAATTTTGGTCAGCGTCAAGTACTGATATACAGACAAACTTTTGTTTCTTTTCGGAACCCATAAGACATTATGACGAGTAACAAGGCCAGTCGTGTTCTTTCTGCCTTGGCAATGTACGAAACGGTTTGTTGGTTGGCAAGCAAAGAACAGGGCGAAGTGACTAGGAGTGTCAGCTATTGAACAAAACTCATACAAGGCTGAAACAAATCACAGAAGCAACTCGAAATCAACAAGATGATGCGCTTCATCCTGTATTGATATACATGTATTATGGATTGTTTCCAAAATTGTACTAATTATGTTCATTATCTTTACTTCAGCTGGTTCAACAAAACTCATACAAGGCTGAAACAAATCACAGAAGCAACTCGAAATCAACAAGATGATGCGCTTCATCCTGTATTGATATACATGTATTATGGATTGTTTCCAAAATTGTACTAATTATGTTCATTATCTTTACTTCAGCTGGTTCAACAAATCTGACACCAGTGAACAATATTGTGACAAGGATCTGCTCAATACACTGAGTCTGACTACCCATGTTTTAAGTTGGTTTGTTTGTTGATTAACGCTGCACTCAGCAATATTCCAGCTATATGACGGAGGTCTGTAAATAATCCAGTCTGGACCAGATAATCCAATGATTGACATCATGAGCATCGATCCACACGATTGGGATGTTTTAAGTAGTCACCTAGGTTTCTGGGGACACATACTAGTATTTGAACCCAGAATCCCCATAGGGGCATATTATATTGTGAACTTAGCATAGTAATATATATTGTATGATCACAAAATAATGTTTGTTTGTTTGTTTGTTTGTTGATTAACGCCGCACTCAGCATTATTCCAGCTATTTGACAGCAGTCTGTAAATAATCGAGTCTGGACCAGACAAGCCAGTGATTGACATCATGAGCATCGATCCACGTAATTGAGATACGATGACATGCATCATAAGTCTGACACGATCCGTTAGTCGCCTCTTTTGACAAGGATAGTCACCTCTTATGTCATGCATGGGTTGCCAAAGACCTATTCTACCCCGGATCTTCATGGGTGCACAAAATAGTGTCTTTGGTTTATCATACCTACACAAGTGTCAAGTAAATACCTTGTACAATTCAAAGCCCTATAATTTCTCACTCTATCATGCCTTAGCATTTATTAGTGAGTGAGTGAGTATGGTTTTATGCCGCTTTTAGCAATATTCCAGCAATATCTCAGCGGGCGACACCAGAAATGGGCTTCACACATTGTACCCATGTCGGGTATCGAACCCGGGTCTTCCGCATGACGAGCGAACTTTTAACCACTAGGCTACTTGACCGCCCCCTTACCATTTATTAAGTGTAAACAACAGAGTGGGAACATTTTCCAGGCAACAAACTGATTCTCTGAAAGTCTATCATAGTCTGTTGAGATTGTTTTTCATACAAATATACATTTATATATATGCCTTAGAACATTCATATGATGACGATAAACATTGCTTACAAACAATATATACACATACATAATTCTATACAGCTTCCTGGTATGACCAGGGACCTTTTCCCAAATGTCACATGAACAACACTATGACTGTCTCTCTTCTACTGTACTACTACATATAGTCTCAGCATAACATGATTAATGTAGGTGAGTACACATGGAAGAACTCAAAAGTAGAAAATGGCCTTGTGCTCTTAAAATTTGGATTTAGAATTAAAAATATTAATCTTATCATAGGGATACACCCAGGTAATTGGCAAAAAACACAATAACCACTATTAGGGAACATCCATTTGATTTCCAGTGGGGTAGGGGGAGAGAACTTAGTGAGTGAGTGAGTTTTTAACAGTATTCCAGTTATATCGCGGTGTGTCAGCTTAATGTAGGAGGAAAGCCCGAAGTGATGCAGGTCTCAGACATTTACCACTTCAGTGAAACCCACGAGCACTGGTATGGTGCTGACAAACCTAGAAACAGATTCGGGGCAAACCGGGATTCAAACCTACAATCATAGGTTTCTGGCATGCCCAAGGGATGCAACTCTGCACAGCGAATTGTGGCGCCTTAGACGACTGGGCCACCCGTGCCCCTGGAGTGAACTTAGAAGAGAGAGATTTTAAAAATAATGTTTTCAGAAATATGCCCGAATGAATGGTTTATTGGCAATGGTGAAATCAATGCATAATTTGTTTTGTGGAAAATACTCAGATGTCAAATTGTTTGGTGATATTAGTGACAATGAATAGATTGTTTGATTGTCCTCAGTAAATAAAAAGATTGTTGGATACAACTGGGGAAAAAATAGTTCTCAAAATAATCCCCATCCCCATAGAAATCAAATGTGCCTTTGGGCAATGCCCTCCCCCAGCTTATAAGAGAGTAATTTTCCTGCTGACTAACCAAAGTTTTATTGTTTAAAAGTTGGAAAACATTAGTTTTATAAGCCTTAGCAACAGGATCAGACTTGTTTCAAACAAAAACAATTAGCCAGAAGACTAGGAAAAAAATTTTGAAATGGGGCAAAACAGTTTTAAGGGTTTTGTCCATAAACCCCAATGTGACATATCTGGGAGTCAGCACAGCATCGCGGAGTGTTGAAATTCAAGATTATTGCACTCATACAGCAGATATGTACAAGTCTGAGTCATCCCGGTTTTATAGTGTAGGACAGTGACATACCATAGTTCACATGGACATCCCACTAAAACACAGTATACTCCAAACAAACCAGTCCTTATTTTACCCCCATATTTCCGAGCGCCAGATAGAGTGGCATCAAGTACCATCTTTTGGTATGTCAAGGCCAGGGCTAGAACCACCAAGCTTCCACTCTCTCGCAGACGTTCTATACAGTGTATCCACTAGAACACGGAGGTGGTCATCAGTACAAGGGTAATGCAAGGCCATCATCTTTTTACCACAACCTCATAAATGAAATGGAACAAGCTTGATTCTTTGGTCATCCTCAGGATGTCGAAGCACTATCTGACATCGCAACAAAAGTTCAATGTACGGTGGCCAGAATCGGTTAGTAATTATCACATAAGGGTCGTGTGGTTCGTCGATACACTTATTCATCAGTTCTTGAAGCACCACTTTAAACGGGACAAGATTTTCCATGGATATCTTCTTGTCACTCGATCGTAGTTTCTTCTTCCCAGCCTTTACCTCTTCAACACTTGGCAAAGGGAAATGTTCGTTGACAAAATGCACCAGCCTCTTTGTCAAACTCCTGTTCATTGTCTCCCCTTTCCGAATCTTTAAATCAAGTTCGGACATCACAGACGACATGGTGACCTCTTCCTCGTCATTGTTAGCAATACCCTCCAGCTTAATCTCCAGACAAGTATGAACCGCTTGCAATTGTCTCTGAATTTCTTCCTCACGGGATATTTGCTGAGTCAGCTCTTTTTTCTGACTGTTTACCAAGGTTAAAACTTCCTGCAGTTGGGATATACTCTTGGTAAGGTCCTTTCTCAGCACTTCTCTGAGGATGTCAGGATTTTCAGGTAAGATACTAGGCTTTGAGTTTTTTACAGTCTCAATCTCACCCTTCAATCGTTTCTCCTTTTCTTGCAAAATTGCTAAAAGGGGAGAAACATCATCTACAGTTTTGGGATCACTGGTTTTTGTAATCAATTCATGATTTGTCTTAACAGCCTCCCACTTCTCTTGACAGACTTGTTTCAGTTCTGCTACAGCTTTAGCTGTCGGCGATGTGCAATCCCCATCAGGAGTTTCCTCCCCTTGCAAACTTGCCATTTTCAGTGTTGTTGTAGGTTACATTCTGTTAAAAAAAAAGAAACAAACTGTCTTCAGGAAGAGAAGCAATATTCCAACAAAATAGATGCTCGGGAGACCCAGGTCTTCCCCAAGACAAGCAAACTGTCAGCCACTTGGCTATATGAATACTAGAGCTGGCAAAAAAGATCGATAATAGGACTTAACGAGCATGAGAAGATATATTAATGGTTATCGATATGAAATAGTTGTAATCTTTAATAACTTACATAAACTATTGTCATGAAATAAAGTTTGGATTTACCGAAACAGACTTGTTAGTGTCACTAATGTAAACTGTCGAAGAGGGAAAACAACTGTTTTTGTTATAACTCAAGTGTCCTCAACATGCTCAAAGTAATCTATGCATAAATGTGTCACTGCTCATAAGTGGCATGAAATATGTTGATTTCTTTTGGGATTTTCTTGCATATTTGCTCACAGTTACTTCTCCGATATTTATTGATAACTGTTGGATATTTAGTTAGCAATTATTGATATCTATAATCTATATTGACAGCCAGCCCTAATGGATACTATAAACAAATATTTACAAACTAGTAATATTCAAGATGTCAGTGCGAGTTGATCAACAAAAGGCAGGCATTTTTTCAAGAAGAAACACTATGTACATATTTACAACAGGTCTGTGTTTTTCTTTGAACAACCTAATTACATTGTTATAGATCTAACTGGTAATACATAATAACGGATGCATGATTCTTTCACACTCAAAAGCAGAGAGAGAGAGAGAGAGTTTGATTTTACGTTGCTTTAAGCAATATTCCTGCAATATCACGGCGGCGGACACCAGAAATGGGCTTCACACGTTGTACCCATGTCGGGAATCGAACCTGGGTCTTCGGCGTGACAAGCGAATGCTTTAACCACTGGGCTACAGTCCCTCAAAAGTAGAAACCAGCATACAGAAGAGCTGCTTAAACCTTGGGTCCTTATCCTGTTCCACTTATTTAAAACAGAGCTCCAGATAACTTTTTTAGCAATTGAGTTCTTACTCGAAGGGTTCTCTTTGAATTGGATTATTACATTTTTCATTGGGTAACCAATATTTTTTCATCTATTCATCACTGGGTTTTTCCCAAAATGAGCTAATATTTTAAAATCTCAAAACAAAATATAATAATGGTTTAGATGTAGATAAGGGTAACTAACTAAAGGCTTGACTCGGAGGTAAATTAGCTCATAATTGTGTTTCGGAAATTAGCTCTGTTGTGCGCATGCTGACAAAGAATCATTTGGTATTTACTCATGCTGTTTTTATACATTTGTGTTTTTCATTTAATGCATGCATTTCTGTACACAATTTAATTGAAAGTAATTGGGTTTTGAATATTTTTATGGGGTATTTTGCGCAAATACACAGCTTATCTGTAGCTCTGATTAAAAGATAATTAACATGTATTTGTGTAGTTTGCTCACATGTCATAGTTGGGATTCTGTTGAGTACAAAAACACTGATACACAGTTTGACTTGAGGTTGATGTCTACAGTGATGTCATCTTCCCGAGGCGAGAGTGTCCACTCGTCTATATCAAAGTAAACTATACTTTGATTGAGGATAGTTGATACTCTTGCCCCAGGACGATGCAGCAATGTATTCATAAAGTATTTTTTGCTTACATCCCACAATATAAAAGATATATGAAGAGACGAAATGAACCATTTTAGGTAAAACTTGTTCCAAAGGAAGGCATGGACTAGTAGCATATTATCGATGCAATGAGGTGAAACGACATACAACACGATTACATATGGCCTCATTTGCAGAGACAGGAGGATATTCGGTATTGTTACTGAATAAATGGTACCTTTATTAATGTAGGTGCACGAGCAACGACTTGGATATCATTGACAGCGACAAAACACTTACTACCAAGACATAATCAATAACCATCTTCTTTAGCTCGTTCCCGCCACCGGAAACGACAACGGTTTAACTACATTGCGGATTAACCGGATGTGAACTCCATTCATCGCTGTGCCGCGCCCGTTTCAAAGCTCCTGTTGGAAGTCACTACTACAAAAGCAATGCTCTGAGTTTGTGACTTCCAATAAAACGAACATGGAATATCGTTTTACTCCCTGTAACCTCATTTGTAATATGATTTTGGATAATTTACGTTTAGTTACGAAAATACGGGAGGTGCTGTTGTCAAAATATAAGCTCACGTCTTTAATGATTAGATCTACGACAAGACGTGAAAAACTTTTTTCAGGTCACTCGATCAGATGAAAATGTTATGTGACCAGAAATTACGGAAATGTTTTAGGACAACCTGCTTTTATATTTTGTTCTTGCTATGTTGAAATTTCAAGATACATAAGTTGAAATTTCAGTATAACAAGTTGAATGAAATTTCAAGAGCGATACTAAGCTTCACATAACACTAGTGACGTATTGAAGGGTATATAGTATACATATTTTGTTTGCTTATTGCACTGTTGAGGACAAATTGTGAACAAGCAGTAGTTGTGTACGGAAGCCCTTTAAAGCCACTTGTGTTTATTTACAAACTAATTTGAAGTTTCAAGATACTAAGTTGAAAATTTAAGATTCACCGTATGTGTCGTGAAATTTCAGCTTGCTATATTGAAAGTTCCAGTAATTAATTAAAAAAGAAAAGTGGCCCTAAAAGGATTCCGTAGTTGTGACAAAATGTCAACTTATTATCAATCTCAATAAAATCAGATCATAGTTCTCGCTACCGCTAAACAAAGCGCTAAGATCTGATTTTAATGAGATTGACTTATTATAATCTTCAAAGTTCAAGAAAAAAATTAATAAATCAAATATCCCTAAAAGTTTTCAGTAGAAAATACAAACACCATCAAGGCATCAAAATAATTTCAGTGGTATACAAAAACAAGTCGAGCTCCGGTGAGAGTTAACTCCCTTCGATCAGGTGCCAAAGTCCAACACAGTGACAGATGAAACTGGCCTGTTGGTACAATGCCTCAAGATGTCAATAAGAGAGTGTTTCTGAAATCTCGACCTGGTAATATATAGCAAGTTTATGAATAATGTGAATGATGTGATGTGTCATAAATCTAGTTGACAATAGTACACAGAAGTTTTTATGAAATTCTTTACTCAGAAATATATTCTCTATAGAAAAATAGGGTAACAATGTATTATACACAGTCAGATTTCCTTTGTTTTTCCAGCTCAGAAAGCAACATATACCTCCATATTATACAGATTATCCAACAACTGAAAAAAATATCCACCTTTTGAAATCTACAGAAAGACTTGCTATATTTAACATTGGTCTTTTCTTAACAGAAACTTTTACAATGAGAAATGAGAACAGTTATTTAATAATAATACCATTGTATGCAGGATATTTAAATATTCATATTATTGTATTGTGGGCCAATGGCCTTTATTACTGAATAAACTTGTCTGTATTATCAGAGACCATAAAAGAGATTTTATATAGATAGATAGAAATCTATTTATATGGTCTCTGGTATTATACACACAGATAGTTTTCCTTTGAAATTACAGTGTTGAATCTGTTATGGTTGCATCAACAGTAAATGGCATAAACATCAGGGTGTCTGTACTTTGTGGGCGTATATGTCAGTTTAAACATATTTTATTCAACTTTACCAGAGATCGATTGGTAAACGGGCCTAACTGCTTATTAAAATACAACTCCGAGTGTCATTTGTGTAGACATCAAAAGTTTAAGGTCAAGAAGCAACACAAATTATATAGCAAGAAGACCACACAAGTTACCAAAACTACAGCCATATTCACATAAGCTTAATATGCAGTCAAACTCAATGTACAAATCGACCTATTTTCTTTAATATTTTGGACAGATATAAGTATGTTGTTGTTGTTATCTCTGTGTTAAATTCCTGTTACTATACAATGCTGTTTTCAGATGAAAACCGGTTGTGTAGTAGATTCTGACCCATGAAGACCCGGGGTAGAATAGGTCTTCAGCAACTCATGCTTGCCGTAAAAGGCGACTATGCTTGTCGTAAGAGGCGACTAACAGGATCAGGTGGTCAGACTAGCTGATTTGGTTGATGCATGTTATTGTATCCCAATTGCGTGGATCGATGTTCATGATATCAATCACTGGATTGTCTGGTTCAGACACGATTTTTTTACAGACTTCCGTCATATATATATAGCTGGAATATTGCTGAGTGCTGCGTAAAACAACAAACAACAAAAAACAATAAGTAGAACAAGTGAAGTCGAGACTTCAAATAAAAATCACACTGACATGCTGCAATATTTTAAATATTTCTTTCTACTTAATGAGTATTAAGATCGCTTCACCCAATTCTTAAACAAGCATGAACAATTTTACAGTATTGAGTACTGTAATTTAAGTCAAAATATGTGCAATATTCCGAAGTATGCAATGCTTTTTAAACCAGCGTCCATGCTAGAATGCTTAACATCATCTTGTAACAGACTCCATAGGTGGTAGCTGGAGAAAGGATTTACAGCAAAGCGAAGTCTTGCAAAACATTTCTTGTAACTGCATACCATTTCTTAATGTGATTATCTACATCTGTCTGACTCAGAACAAGCTTACACAGATATTCTGGAGCAACATTGCTTATCATTTTGTAATATATATAGACAGTTTTTTATTTCTCTTACTTCCTATATGTGAAAATACACTACACCCATATCATTATATACACATACATTACGCAGTGCCATGTTTACACATCATAATAGAAAGCTGTGAAATAGGATAGACACCCTATTGTAAAATCCCATACACATTGTCTGGTTAGCCTGTATGTATTACCGGTAATGCCATGGTAGAGCTAATAATTGATCCTGTTCACACTTTAAGTTACCATAACCCCGTGATATAACTGGAATAATGTTAAAAGCAGCGTCAAACCCAACTCACTCACTTACTCACTCAATTAAGTGACCATACTTAGAGCAAATTTGTTTCACCAAAATTTTGTAAACTTTGAAATTTGTGTATGCTATCCCGAAACAAGTGTCTATAGGGCATTGCCAAGTACAAAGCCAGGGAAATTATGCCTGTCGATTAAATATTCGTAGCCACACTGATTTTTTAACATAGAAAGGGGGTTATTTGTGCATGTCTTCTGAGCATCTAAAGGGGCACGGCTGGCCCAGTCGTCTAAGGCGCCGCGATTCGTTATGCAGAGTTGCGTCCTTTGGGCACACAAGAAACCTATGATTGTGGTTTCGAATCCCGGTTTGCCCCGATTATATTTCAAGGTTTGTCAGCACCATACCCGTGCTCGTGGGTTTTACCGAAGTGGTAAACGTCTGAGACCTGCATTACTTTGGGCTTTCCTCCCACATCAAGCTGACATGCCGTGATATAACTGGAATACTGTTAAAAGCGGCGTTAAACCCAAATCACTCACTCAACCCTTGAGCTTTGGTCTCATGGTGTTTCGCATTCAGTTTCTAAAATCCCTTCTACTAAAACCTCCTGGTCCTTTTCAGGGGTGAATGGGGAACCTACTGATGACAACTTTGATGTAGAGGGCTGTGAGACTCCTTCATCAGACAAGCTCCAGGACGGAGAGGCTCTGGTCAAAACCCTCTACCTCTCTGTCGACCCAGCGTTTGTAAGCATGTCATATACACACAGCTACAGATAAGCAGCGTATTTGCGTAAAATACCCCACCCCCAAATATTCAAAGCCCAATTACTTTCAATTAACTTGCGTACAGAAATGCATGCATTAAATGTAAAGCTCAAATGTATCAACACAGCATGCGTAAATACCCAATGAGCTTTTCCAGCATACGTTCAAAGAAGCTAATTTCTGAAACATGATTACGGGATAATTTACCTTTTGAGTCAAGCGCGTATATATTTAGGACAGTTATATACATCTAAAACATGTTTTCATTTTATTGAAATCTAAAAATGTTCACTAATTTTTAGAAAAAATGCAATAGAGTGATGAATAGATGAGTGAAAAAATATTGGTTACCCAATGAAAAATGTAATGACCCAATTAAAATAGAAACCCTAGAGTAAAAACTCATTTGCTCAAATAGTTATCTGGAGCTCTGTATAAGCAAGGAGAAACTTTTTTCATGAAACTCATGTTGTGTCCCTTGCTCGTATTATTCTTATAACACATTTTTACCTGGACATGATGGAGTATATTGTCATGTCAAGTTCACTGCCCATGGTCAGAAACAATGACATAGAGGGGAATGTCCGAGTAACTCTCCATTCCTTAAAAATAATGGAGCAGAGGCCCTGCATAATGGTGCTCACGTTATTTGATGCACTTATCGCGGTAAGACCCATTTTATTACAATATTGATTGTCTTGACTGGGCAGCGCCATTTTGTTTGAAGCAAATATCAAGTGATTTGAGAGGTGGAATCTGATTGGTCAGTAGGAGGGACACGGAAGGGACATAACTCGTAATAGCCACTGGTGGCGCTACGATCGAGCCACGAAATTCCAGTCTAGTTCGGCCAGGGTGGAAACTGGATTTTTATAGTCCATGAACTCCCTTGCCTTGGGAAGTTGATTGACGACCTACTCACTTAATTTTTCAGAGATGTTGTCTAAATGAGGACACAGGGGCAGAGTATTTGACTCCCCTGCAGATCGGAGACACCGTGCACTGGCTAGGTATCGGCGTTGTGACGGCAAGCAAGGACGAGGGCCTCAAGCAAGGGGACTATGTTACATCAAACTTTGACTGGCCATGGACGAATGTCTTTGTCAAGGCAGCTAGCCAGCTGAAAAAGGTACCTATGTTAATGAATGGTTGCACCTGGATTATTTTGTTTGAAGGAGCAAAATACTCCGACTTGAGACCTACTGGTTTCATAGGTTACATTATTGCCTCCTCTGAGGACTTATATTCATGTGTTATGGGCAGGGGAGGAGCATTGGTCTTTGGACTGTTTCAAATTTTGTTGACGCCCAGTCATTGTAGGTAACATTTTTTCATCGTCGCCTCGCCGACCAAATTACATGTAACATTGTTTGAAAGGCCGCCTCCACCAACCCAAATACATGTAACATTTTTCAATGAGCGCCTCCCCCAACCTAAATACATGTAACTTTTTTTATGGCCGCCTCCCCCGACCAAATTACATGTAACATTTTTTCAATGGCAGCCACCCCTGACCAAAATATATGTAACATTTTTTCATGGCCACCAACCACTACCCTAATAAATGTACCATTTTTTTCAAGGTTGCCTCCCTCGACAAAAGAACAAGTAACATTTTTCAACGGACGCCTCCCCCGACCAAAATACATGTTACATTTGTTTGAGTGCACACTGATCCATTGTCTGGACTAATAATAATATAGCGCCATGAGCAGTCACTTGAGTGAATTTTGGCTCGTCCCTAACGAAGCTATCGTAGCAAATTGGTCCAAGGTACTTATCATAATTGAATGGGGATATAATACTCTGGATTATGGAAGATGGGTCACATGAAGCTTCTAGTATTTGGGTATTGTTGTGATTTTTTTATATGCACCAGGAATATGTTTGAACCTTTTCTATTAAAAGCTGCCAAAAGAAAGTGTCCAAGATCGTCCATCTCTGGCACTGAGTGCACTTGGCGTAACTGGTCTCACGGCTTACCTTGGAATCAAGGTGAAAGGTCATGTGTCCCCAGCAGCCAATCAGACGATGGTCATCAGTGCCGCAGCAGGATCAACAGGGTCGCTTGCTGGACAGGTCAGTTTGATATGCCGTGCAGGCCTTTATCCCCTCAGAGGTCACTTATAAATGATGGGAGGGACTTTTCAGTGATCACAGCCCCACGGTGAGCTGAACAGTAAGTGACCCAATATGTGGGGGTATGATATTACACTATCACAACCAGCTCAGAACAGAGCTGAACTCAGTTTGAGGAGATTGGTTGGACACAGCTGATGTCAGTTTGAGGGATTGATTAGACAGAGCTGATTTCAGTTTAAAGGATTGATTGGACAGTGCTGATCCCAGTTTAAGGGATTGGTTGGACAGAGCTGATCCCAGTTGAAAAGATTGGTTGGACAGAGCTGATCTTCCCAGTTTGAGGGGATTGGTTGGACAAAGTTGATCTCAGTTTGAGGGGATTGGTTGGGCAGAGCTGATCTCTGGTTGAGGGGATTGGTTGGACATAGCTGATGTTAGTTTAGGGATTGATTGGTCAGAGCTAATGTCAGTTTGAGGGATTGATTGACCAGAGCTGATCTTTGGTTGAGGGGATTGGTTGGACATAGCTGATGTTAGTTTTAGGGATTGATTGGTCAGAGCTGATGTCAGTTTGAGGGATTGATTGGACAGAGCTGATCTCTGGTTGAGAGTATTGAGTGGATAGAGCTGATGTCAGTTTAAGGGGATTGATTGGACAGAGCTGATCTCAGTTTAAGGGGATCTGTTGGACATAGCTGATGTCAGTTTGAGGGGATTTGTTGGACAGAGCTGATCTTCCCAGAAGTATATAATATATTTTAACAAGTGTATCGTCTTGTATTGATACAGAAACAAAAAGTATTGTGTATCGTATTGTCGCATGAAAACTCACGATGCATCGGTGCACCGTTTCATCCCTACTGGGTTCCTAACTAAGCCATGTAAACAGCACACACGTCAGAAGTACCATTTGAACAGTACAAATATATATCATTTGGGCCCCAATATGTATTGCAATATGTATCGTGATGCAGCTCTCTTTATTTGGACATATTGCAATACAATTTATGTGCTGATACGCAAACCCTAGTATAAATGGTACCGTATATAACCATAGATAAGTCAGATTTTGAGGACCAGAAAAAAGTTCTGTAGCAAGGGGTCTGCCTATGTAAAGGTTTCACTTTCATCAAATTTTTTTCTGTTGGTCAAAAAACTAAATCGTATCGCTTCAGGTGAATGAACAACAGCTTATGTACCACACATAACATTTTGATACAGATTTCATGGACCATGTTAATACCTCAGCTTAACTATGTTTTGTTTATTTGTTGTTAAACGCTGCACTGAGCAATATTCCAGCTATATGACGGCGGTCTGTAAATAATCAAGTCTAGACCAGACAAACCAGTGATTGACATGATGAGCATTGAACCACATAATTGGGATACGACAACATGCATCAACCAAGTCAGTGAGCCTGACCACCCGATCCCGTTAGTCGCCTCTTACAACAAGCATAGTCGCCTTTTTCAGCAAGCATGGGTTGAAGACCTATTGTACCCAGCACCTTCAGGGGTCCAGCTAAACTATGAGGTCGGCTTATCTACGGTCATATACGGTACTGAAGATATTGTGCTGCAGTCAGATGGTACATGTATATTAATGTACAAGCACATGCCCCCTTGTGAAGATGTTCATGTGTGCTGCAGATAGCACGGGCTGAGGGGTGCAAGCGTGTGGTTGGTATCTGCGGCAGCAAGGAGAAGTGTGAGTATCTCACATCCCAACTGGGTTTTGATGCTGCCGTAAATTACAAGACGGAGGATGTTAGTGATAGACTGAAGGAGGCCTGTCCTGACGGTGTAGACGTGTACTTCGACAACGTCGGCGGTGACATCAGCGACAAAGTCATACAGCAGGTGAGTAGGAGACTTCAGTGCTCTGTTACGGACCCTGAATATGGTGTATAAACCAACTTACTCACCAGTTTTCAACTACATGTACCATTAATTAAGATATAAACGACGAGTGGAAGTTCTTTAACGTACTGTAAAACACTGCAGGGAGAATAAACCATGAGGGGCGCAGCTGTGTTTTATTGTACGATAAACAACGACCACGAGTCGTTTATTTCTTATATGAGATATCAACATCATGTACAGCCTATTTAAGGATGTTGATATAATGTACAAGTTTTAAAGGTACTTACCCTAATTTTGATAATGATGACTCCCTGAATAGAATCAAACCTTGGAAATGTTGGACAAGTCCATTTTACGAACAGGTGGGTTAAGTTTGGTATTCCTGCATATTCTCACAATCTTCACGTTGATCATCTGTACCTTTTCTCCTAATACCGATTGTCACATCTCTTTAACATTTGGATGCGATCGTTCAGCCACTGCATTTATTTACAAGGCATAGCTACATCTATGGGGAACAACTTACTTGACACTTCCCTCTCCAAAAAAATGTTGTCAAATATATGACATCATCAAGATGCAAGCACATTTTCAAATCTCCAGAAATGACGTCAGGATAGAACGTGAAATAAACCATGCTTCGGTCTTCATTGTTCTTTGCAATTTATTGTGTAGCTATTGTATGTAGTTTATGTGCACATGGTATGAAAGAAGACATTCAATATTGTCCCACTGTGGTGTCCACGTCCAGATGAACCGGGACTCCCATGTGATCCTGTGTGGTCAGATCGCTGTGTACAACAAGGACGTCCCCTACCCCCCACCCATCCCAGCACCCACCCAGCAAACCCTGGCGGAGAGGAACATTACCAGGTGGGTGTCTCAAGTTTGTTTGTTTGTTTATTTGTTGTTTAACGCCCCACTCAGCAATATTCCAGCTATATAACGGCGGTCTGTAAATAATCAAGACCAGACAATCCAGTGACTGACATCATGAGCGTCAATCCACACAATTGGGAAATGATGACATGCATCAACCAAGTCAGCAAGCCTGACCACCCGATCCCGTTAGTCGCCGCATACGACAAGCATAGTCACCTTTATGGCAAGCATGGGTTGCTGAAGACCTATTCTACCCCAGATCTTCATGGGTCGGGCATTTCAAGTAATGTTTTTGCTGTCTGAGTGTGTTGGTATTGTTGATAGTGGCTGAATTATGTCTTGAATGATGACAACTGTTGCTGAATTATGTCTGGAATGCTGACAACTGTTGCTGAATTATGTCTGGAATGTTGACAGTGTCTGAATTGTTTGGAATGCTGACAGTGTCTGAAATGTGTCTGGGTAGGGTATTCAAAGGAATTAAGTATGGTTTTGAGGAAGACGCTCTCACATTGTTGTGAAGCATTACAGCAAGTTCACACAGAGGCTCTTTAAACATTACACACAATTGTGTTTCTGTCTGGCAGAGATCGCTTCCTTGTACTGAACTATGCGGACCAGTTTGATGAAGCCCTGCTGACTCTAGCCGGCATGATGCAACAAGGGAAGCTGCAGGTGATGTAGATACTGTGACAGATTCACACCTTATGTCAACTTAGTAGCAAAATTGTTAGGAAAATATACATTCATGTGGTATAAAACTATATCGTACATCTGGAAAATTTTGCGAGCAGGAAAGTACTGTGAAAACTGCAAGTGACATGCACTCGCAATAGTTTTAGGTTGTAGCTATTTTGGCAGACCGACAACAAACAAAAACATTTATGGAAGCATGTTTCGTTAAGTCATTTCAACACATTGTCGAAGCAGCTGTAAAAGGTAACAAATGTTATATTTGGTATAACACTGTCTTAGTAAAGTACAGATTCTGGTACGTTTTGGGTTGAGCCCCATCCAGGATTCGAACCCACACTCCCAGAATGAGGCACCTAATTGCCAGCACACAAAGTCAGCGATCCTACTAAGCCAACGAGGCATCCACAAAAATGAAAGTTCAACAACTGGTAGTCAAGATCACGAACTTTGTGTACCCCTCTGACAAGTGTAAAGTGTCCCCTAGAATCTGTAATTTAGTAAGAAAGTGTTATCCCAAATATAACCTTTGTTACATTTGACTGCTTTCTTAATGACTTTGTGTATTCACAGCCATAAAATGATTAAATAAATATTCCTTCACGTTCTGTTTCATTATTACCCCTTATCACTCGGTGCCTATAGTCTAATCAGGAAAGTTCACTAACCTGCATCATCCCGTCACTTTCCCTACTTCCCAGTTCGCCCCAATTATGTTTCTAGGTTTGTCAGCACCATACCCGTGCTCGTGGGTTTCCCCGAAGTGGTAAACGTCTAAGACCTGCATCACTTCGGGTTTTCCTCCCACATTAAGCTGACACGCTGTGATGTGAGTGGAATACTGTTAAAAGCGGTGTTAAACCAATCTCACTCTTTCCTTATTTATCACCGAGTAGTCCAGACATACGCCAGCCTTATAAAACTACGGTCAAATAAACATGCTACTCCAACCTTCTGTGTCAACTACAACACATTCATGTAAAGTTGACTCACTTAGCTACCTTTTCATCACAAGCTTTTTATCCTGTTTGGATCACTTCCTACTTCAGTAAAAGGTGACTATGCTTGTCATAAAAGGCGACTAACGGGATCCGATGGTCAGACTCGCTGACTTGGTTGATGCATGTCATCGATCCCAAATGCATGGATTGATGCTCATGATATCAATCACTGGATTGTCTGGTCCAGACTCGATTATTTACAACCGCCATCATATAGCTGGAATATTGCTGAGTGCGGCGTTAAACAACAAACCAATTAACAAACATATCACTACCTACTTGTCCAACAGCTGGCCAAGGGTTAATACCGTTTGTTTTTGTTTAAGCAATATGCAGCATCCTGCATTAGTTTATTTTAGAATATAAAAGAAACAATTGATTAAAGAATGAGCACTGTATGTTATATTGTCTTATTTGTCCAATTTCACTTTTAACGTTTCCATTTACATAGTTCACAGTCCAACTAGATGGGAAACAATATTGTTATTATCATACCCTGCTTTCTGGCAAGAAGTTGTCTCTTCTCCCTCTCAAGGGCATAGTCTAGGTTTCGATATTTCTTCTTCTTGTGTGGCATCAAACTACCTGGATTAGTTTCTCAATGAATTTGTACATATTTGGATGCCACCCCTATTTTAGCCTCCGCTAAGGGGATTCCCCTCAGTGGCAGAATTTTTTGTTTGGGTGACAATTTCATCTGTCGTTTTTTATCATCCATTTTACGGCATTTCCCTTTTTCAAATTTAGTTTAGTCTTCTGCAAAGTTGCTATGTTCACTTTACTTGCCATTTCAGATTCCATGTAACTTTGGTGATGTACTTATGTTTCAGGTTCGAGAGACCGTAATGGAAGGCATTGAGAATGCAGGGAAAGCCTTCGTGTCCATGATGAAGGGTGGGAACATAGGGAAACAAGTGGTGAAGGTGGCAGATGTGTGAAGGGGGCAGACGTGTGATGGAAGCAGACGTGTGAAGGTGGCAGACGTGTGAAGGTGGCAGACGTGTGAAGGTGGCAGACGTGTGAAGGGGCAGACATGTGAAGGTGGCAGACGTGTGAAGGTGGCAGACGTGTGAAGGGGCAGACATGTGAAGGTGGCAGACGTGTGAAGGGGGCAGACATGTGAAGGTGGCAGACGTGTGATGGAAGCAGACGTGTGAAGGTGGCAGACATGTGATGGAAGCAGACGTGTGAAGGGGGCAGACGTGTGAAGGAAGCATACGTGTAAAGGAAGCAGACATGTGATGGAAGCAGACGTGTGAAGGGGGGCAGACGTGTGATGGAAGCAGATGTGTGATGGGAGCAGACGTGTGAACGAAGCAGACGTGTGAAGGTGGCAGACGTGTGATGGAGGCAGACGTGTGAAGGAGGCAGACGTGTGATGGAAGCAGACGTGTGATGGAAGCAGACGTGTGAAGGGGGCAGATGTGTGAAGGGGGCAGATGTGTGATAGGAGCAGACGTGTGATAGGAGCAGACGTGTGATGGAAGCAGACGTGTGATGGAAGCAGACGTGTGAAGGTGGCAGACGTGTGATGGAAGCAGACGTGTGAAGGTGACAGATGTGTGAAGGAAGCAGATGTGTGAAAGTGGCAGATGTGTGAAAATGATAGATGTGTGAAGGGGACTTTGTGTGCAGACAGACTTTGACCTTCACATTGTGTAAATTCCATCCCTGACGTGTATGATGAACATCCTCATTTATTGTCATCATCAGCATCAACAATAAATCATATTCCCAGTCACATCAGTGATCAAGACATGCGTTTGTGTTTGATACAAGTTTTCCTTCTTAAATTGACATGTATGTAACCTCTGCTTACTCTCATTGTGCGTATTTCTCCTGAAAATAAAAGACATTACTTGTATAACCTGACTGGAAATTAACATAGCTGAAGACTGAGCAGGACAGCAATGTATCACCTCTTAATTCCTTCCACTCTCTCACTGATCAAATTCCTGTCACTTTGAAATGTCAACTATTATGAAAATGATGATGTAACATTTTCTCATTCTTTATCTTTCTTCGACCTCCTCCGTGGTCTAGTGGTAGAGCGTCCGCCCGGAGAGGGGAATGTCCGGGGTTCGGTCCCCGGCTGTGTCATACCAAAAGACGTTAAAAGATGGTACTTGTTGTTACCCTGTCTGGCGCTCGGCATTAAAGGGCTAAAACAAGGACTGGTCGGCTCGGAGTCAGTATACTGTGTCTGAGTGGGGTATCCATGTTAAACTGCGGCATGATATATATTAAATCGGCATCAGTCCGGACTAGTACAAGCAGCCACACACACACACGTGCATGCACGTCGCTATATAAGCGCATTAATCTTGGACGCGACGTTAAACCCAATTTCCCCTCACCTTATCTTTATTCATAAAGTAGTGGAGGCCAAAGGCCCATTCTACAGTTACATCAATGCTTGAGAGAGTAACAGCATATATACATCTGTACATCGATATACATTGTTCACCCAAATGGTTGCATTGACTTTATACAAACGTTGCAAGATCTTTAACAGTTTCTGGATTTGTTTAAGACATTTGTAAGTTAAATTTATGTAATGGTGGATATAAGTAGTATTTTGTTGGTATATACACACTCCTGAGATTGTCAAAAACAACACAAAAGTACAAGATGGTATTCATCCTCTATGTATCTTAGTTTGCATACAAGCCATATTCTATCTGATTTTACTTCTTGAACATATCTACCAGTTTCAGTTCGGAGCTGGTGTGAAGAACATCGAAGTTGAGTCATTTTGTCATACGTCAGTATTTTCGAATTGTTTGATAGGTATTACTGGATGACAAAGTAGACAATTTATGGATAACAACTTCTTTATTTACTGTAAAGGCGACGTTTTGGTATGAATCCTTATACCTTTGTCAAGTAATCCTTGTTTGACAAAGGTAGAAGGATCTATACCGAAATGTTGCCTTTACAGTAAACAAAGAAGTTGTTATCCATAAATTGTGTCTGCTTTGTCATCTGTATTCTCATGTCATACAGAAAACTGCACATATTTCTGAACAAAATACCAGGAGCGTTTATTAATTCATGAAACCTTTATGAAAAATATATTCAGGGATATTTCATTTCAGCTATGAAGCAAAATGTAGCAGTGTAACCATGGTAACAAGATGCCTATGGGATAGTGGCATGGGCAAGTGTTTTTTTCTGTTTATTCAGCTGGGGGATTGCACATTGTGTGACATTTTCATTCATCAATAAATCAAATTATCATTGTGATATTGGCAATCAGGCAGACTCGTGAGACTACTGAAAATCCAGATCGGCTAGTTGTTTTGTTCCAAAATCTACATATTTTACTCAAACCAATAGTCTCAAATGACATGCAAACTGGCTGGATCCTAAATGATAGACAGACTGGATGGATCCTGAATGACATACAGACTGGATGGATCCTGAATGATAGACAGACTGGATGGATCCTGAATGATAGACAGACTGGATGGATCCTGAATGATAGACAGACTGGATGGATCCTGAATGATAGACAGACTGGATGGATCCTGAATGATAGACAGACTGGATGGATCCTGAATGATAGACAGACTGGATGGATCCTGAATGATAGACAGACTGGATGGATCCTGAATGATAGACAGACTGGATGGATCCTGAATGATAGACAGACTGGATGGATCCTGAATGACATACAGACTGGATGGATCCTGAATGATAGACAGACTGGATGGATCCTGAATGATAGACAGACTGGATGGATCCTGAATGATAGACAGACTGGATGGATCCTGAATGATAGACAGACTGGATGGATCCTGAATGATAGACAGACTGGATGGATCCTGAATGATAGACAGACTGGATGGATCCTGAATGATAGACAGACTGGATGGATCCTGAATGATAGACAGACTGGATGGATCCTGAATGATAGACAGACTGGATGGATCCTGAATGATAGACAGACTGGATGGATCCTGAATGATAGACAGACTGGATGGATCCTGAATGATAGACAGACTGGATGGATCCTGAATGATAGACAGACTGGATGGATCCTGAATGATAGACAGACTGGATGGATCCTGAATGATAGACAGACTGGATGGATCCTGAATGATAGACAGACTGGATGGATCCTGAATGACATACAGACTGGATGGATCCTGAATGATAGACAGACTGGATGGATCCTGAATGATAGACAGACTGGATGGATCCTGAATGATAGACAGACTGGATGGATCCTGAATGATAGACAGACTGGATGGATCCTGAATGATAGACAGACTGGATGGATCCTGAATGATAGACAGACTGGATGGATCCTGAATGATAGACAGACTGGATGGATCCTGAATGATAGACAGACTGGATGGATCCTGAATGATAGACAGACTGGATGGATCCTGAATGATAGACAGACTGGATGGATCCTGAATGATAGACAGACTGGATGGATCCTGAATGATAGACAGACTGGATGGATCCTGAATGATAGACAGACTGGCTGAATCCTAAATGACGTACAGACTGGCTGGATCCTAAATGACATACACACTGGCTGGATCCTAAATGACATACACACTGGCTGGATCCTAAATGACATACACACTGGATGAATCCTAAATGACATACAGACTGGCTGAATCCTAAATGACATACACACTGGATGAATCCTAAATGACATACAGACTGGCTGAATCCTAAATGACATACACACTGGCTGAACCCTAAATGACATACACACTGGCTGAATCCTAAATGACATACAGACTGGCTGAATCCTAAATGACATACACACTGGCTGGATAGATCCTAAATGACATACAAATTGGCTGGATCCTAAATAACATGCAAACCGATATTATCATCACCCTATAACAAACAGATACAGTGTATATATTTCTTTGTTATGAAGAGAATAATACATTTACGCCAATAGGATTCGCCCTGGGGGCCAGCCTTGCCTCTGGAAACTTAGGTCCAGGATCATAATATGGAAACAGTTCATATCTTTATGCTGCATTTGTAGCTACTGAAATACATGTTCATGCTGTCAGATTTGCCATCCACCTGTTTTAATACTGACAGTCAAAATTACGAAAAATATTTGCAGTATTATATACATGTACAATCCAAATGTATATTTTGTCATGATTTCCTAAATATCCAGGTGAGCGATACAGGACCTATCGGCCTCTTGTTATAGTTTAAAGTGCACCCCACATTTTGCAAAGTACTGTGCATCAACACTCTTCGAAAGAAAGCTGCGTATGCCCAGAGAGCGGAAGGTCCGGGGTTCGATCCCCCGGCCGTGTCATACCAAAAGACGTTAAAAGATGGTACTTGTTTTTACCATGTCTGGCACTCGGCATTAAGGGGATAAAACGGACTGGTCGGCTCGGAGTCAGAATACTGTGTCTGGGTGGGTTATTCATGTTAAACTGCGGCATGGTATCTCGGGGGCATCAGTCCGGACTAGTACAAGCAGCCACACACCCACACCCACACCCACACCCACACCCACACGTCGCTATATAAGTGCAATCATCTTGGACGCTACGTTAAACCCCATTTCACCTCACCTCACCAGAGACCATATAATTATATGCCAGGTCTCTGACCTCACCAACACTCTTCCAAAGAAAGCTGTATTGACACTTGAGTGAGTTGCCAGGAATCAAGGGTTTGTTCTGGGCCATGCCGTTGTGACTGAATGATGGAAGACAAATAACAAAACACTGGTCTTTATCATAAAAGTCTTTTACTGCATAGAACATTGTGGTCCGTATTTACATAAGCCAGTGACAGTATGTACACTTTGTATATGGAAATGTTAGCTGTGAGATCAACCTCATAGCATAATACAGGGATATCTCAAACTTAGATATCAACTATTCATGAACCAAGTTTGGAGTTTTCATGCTATACAAACACTCTTCAATTATGTTTTCGTGTAGAAATAAATCTCCAAAACCTGATATTCTTCAATATTTGTAAATGCATTCTCCAACATCATTGTAAAAAAATAATCCATAACCACGACAACGGAATTCCTTTTGATCAAGAATTGACAAATATTTCAACATTATTCAGAAAACTTCAGTTAAAATATGAACCCTCGCTGAAAGAGAAATTAAAATACTGTATAAATTCTGGGGAGATTTGCCCTTTGAAAACAAAAAACAGCTGGTATATGTTCTTCCCTTTACCACAAATGTGGAGTGAGTGAGTGAGTGAGTGAGTAGGGATTTAGCAATAACATTAGAACGATGAAGACAGGGCCAGTAAGAAATGGCGCCACATTTTGCTCATCTGAAGATTTGAACACACAGCTTCACAATACTTCACCCTCTGGTTATCTCACTGTCAAAATGAAAACATTTAACAGTTGGAGAGCCCTGTTCTTTCGTCTGACAAGTTTTCAAAAAGGGAAACATAAATAAACGTTTGTCAAAATAAAATTCAAAGGGTACTTAAAGGAATTGTTCAAGACCAATGATTGAACTCCAGATATATGCAATAATGCATGGAAACACATTTTTTATTAAATAAAAGTTTAAAGGAAATTATACACTATTCCTTAAAACCTGTCCACATATGCTATGTGAGGATAGATAAAGATGATTTTGTTGAAGCCTGTGATTATTTCTTTCTTGTCATACTTCTATTAAAGCGGTCTTTTTGTATTTCATTAGCTGGTTTACAAAACCAAACTTACTAAAGAGAAAACGTAAATATGAAAAAAAGCCAAAATTCTAAATTTTAAGGGTGGATTGTTTCACAAAATGTATGGTGTGTTGTCCCAGGAATGTATAAAATATTGCTGTTTAGATGATGAAATCACGACCATTTACAAACAATCTCTTGAAACGAGTTGAGATGTTTGAGGGTGTATACAAAGAAGGCGGAATCTACTAACAACTGATTTCCCGTATTACAGCCTTATTTTCATTCATCATGTTCATTAATAGTAAATTTATTGTGGAGTTGATATTTCAAAAACAAAATTCTGACCACCTGTATTTAATATTGTGAACCAAATATAAAAATATAAGGCATAATGTCTATCGTACTGCAATAGACAATTGTTCAGGATTATGCATGAAAGTCAAGGGATCCTTATTGTGCTAATGCTGAAGGTTAAACATTTAGGTCCTTAGATACTACAGGAGCGAATCTCAAGGACCAGAGGAGCCCCTTAAGTCTGAACAATGAATAGATGCCACAGTGAAGGACAATAACAATAATGGATTTGCATAGCACCTTGTTTCCAACTAGATGCTACTCAACGGCAGGGAACACCAGAAATTGGCTTCACACATTGTACCAATGTGGGGAATCAAACCTGTGTCTTCAGTGTGACGAGCTGACGCTTTAACCATTAGGCTACCCTGTCGCTCCATATACGCTTGGTGCTACTGATTGATACTGTGGTCAATCTTTACGTAACAAGACATGTTTATCTCCAAGCTTGAGAGAGAACATAAACTCATATGATTCTGCCAAAAGGCATTTAACAAGGCTCGAGTACAGCAATAGACATAAATATCAAACAGCAAATACAGTACTGTCAACAACATGTGAACAACTTCGTTGAAGGTAAAATCCAGTGCCCCAAAACATTTTTTTCTATTAAAAGGTCCTGCTTTTTAACACTGACAATTTATAAAATCTATAAACAATAACTACATTGTACTTGCATTAATGTGATCTGTTGATGGAACAGGTAAGATTGAATATAAACGCTTAAAACAATTCCAAAATAAGGCTAATAACCATTTGTCTAAATCTGATTACACTATCATTTGTTTGTTTGTTTGTAGTTTAATGCCCCACTCAGCAATATTCCAGCTATATGACGTCAATTGGGATACGGTGACATGCATCAACCTAGTCCGCAAGCCTGACCACCCGATCCCATTAGTTGCCTCTCAACAAGCATAAGCGCTTTTTACGGCAAGCATGGGTTGCTGAAGACGCATTCTCTATCCTGATGTTCACAGGTCGGATTACACTATCGAGATACAAACACTGAGTGGAAGAGTTGGGAATAATGCTCTCTAAAGATTCATTTTGTCACATCAGCTGTGGGAGTAAAGCCTGGGTATTGTGCTGACAAAACCAAGGATTCAGGGTGAATTTGAACACACAATCACAGGTTCCTTGCATGCACAAGGGATGCAACTCTGCACGAAATATATACCAATTTAATATGAGTGGGATGTGGCATTTAGTTGTGAACTAAATTATATTGTATACATTCTTGTTAGAATTTGAATCTAATTTCATATTTGGACCTATGCCTAACTTGAAGATTTAATCTATTGTCCTCAACCTTAATGTCCTGCTTAAGATAACTTGTATGCCACCAATACAATTGAATTCCAGATTGTTGCATTTATGATACAACTGTAATTTAATGTAATTTAAACATTATACAACTTTTGAAAACCCTAATTAACGAAATCATCATGTCTCAATATTCCTCAATATTCCATTATCATCTGCCTTGTCCAGCAATGAACAGAAGATGGGAGACTCGATCTGAAAAATACAAAAACACACATGTACTGAAGGCCCTGTCTTAATGCAGCATGAAACTTGCTGATGCTACATAAAACAACATTCATTCAATAATGATCACTCACACTTGTATATAAGCATTCTCATGAACACTCACACTTGTATATAAGCACACTCATGACTCACACTTGTATATAAGCATTCTCATGAACACTCACACTTGTATATAAGCACACTCATGACTCACACTTGTATATAAGCACACTCATGAATACTCACACTTGGATATAAGCATTCTCATGAACACTCACACTTGTATATAAGCATTCTCATGAACACTCACACTTGTATATAAGCACACTCATGACTCACACTTGTATATAAGCACACTCATGACTCACACTTGTATATAAGCATTCTCATGAACACTCACACTTGTATATAAGCACACTCATGACTCACTCTTGGATATAAGCACACTCATGACTCACACTTGTATATAAGCATTCTCATGACTCACACTTGTATATAAGCACACTCATGACTCACACTTGTATATAAGCATTCTCATGAACACTCACACTTGTATATAAGCATTCTCATGACTCACACTTGTATATAAGCATTCTCATGAACACTCACTTGTATATAAGCACACTCGTGACTCACACTTGTATATAAGCACACTCATGACTCACACTTGTATATAAGCATTCTCATGAACACTCACACTTGTATATAAGCACACTCATGACTCACTCTTGGATATAAGCACACTCATGACTCACACTTGTATATAAGCACACTCATGACTCACTCTTGGATATAAGCACACTCATGACTCACACTTGTATATAAGCACACTCATGTCTCACATTTGTTTATAAACACTCATGACTCACTCATACTTGTATAAGCACACTCATGACTCACTCTTGGATATAAGCACACTCATGACTCACACTTGTATATAAGCACACTCATGACTCACTCTTGGATATAAGCACACTCATGAACACTCACACTTGTATATAAGCACACTCGTGACTCACACTTGTATATAAGCACACTCATGACTCACACTTGTATATAAGCATACTCATGACTCACTCTTGGATATAAGCACACTCATGACTCACACTTGTATATAAGCACACTCATGACTCACTCTTGGATATAAGCACACTCATGACTCACACTTGTATATAAGCACACTCATGTCTCACGTTTGTTTATAAACACTCATGACTCACTCATACTTGTATAAGCACACTCATGTCTCTCACTTGTTTATAAGCACACTCATGACACACTTTTATATAAGCACACTCATGACTCACACTTGTATATAAGCACACTCATGATCACTCACCTTGTACATAAGCACACTCATAATCACACTTGTATATAAGCACAATCATAATCAGTCATACTTGTATATAAGCACACTCATGATCACTCAGACTTGTAGATATAAGCACACTCATCTGTTCCAAGGTTAGTGTGATGAGCACTCCAGCATGAGTGAGTGAGTATATTTTTTACGCCGCTTTTAGCAATATTCCAGCAATATCACGGCAGGGGACACCAGAAATGGTCTTCACACATTGTACCCATGTTGGGATTCAAACCCGGGTCTTCGACCGCTTTAACCACTAGGCTACCCAACTGGCCCTCTCCAGCATCAACTTACACCCAGGATATATGCGCACGTGGACGGCTCCATGAGGTAGATGCCGACAGAGTGGGGGTGGTTGGTGTTCACCACACATCTGAAACACAATGTGAATTACCTTCAAAATGGTATTCAGGGCATGACCCTCATAGAAAACATGTTCAGGCCAATATTTCCACTAGAAACAGAATCTACTCGTAAAGCTTGAATGTCATAAGCCCAATGCGTAAAGCATCACTCGAGATAAGCTGTGTATTTGCTTAAAATATGCATTAAAAAGACTGAAATATGCATACAAATCAAATCCTAGTGTATCAAATACACATAATTAATGCATATATTACAACTATTAGATAGAATGATTGCGTATATTACTTATGACAAGTCACTTATAACAAGAGTTAGACATTGTGGTTTAGGCCTGAAATTTGACTGGAACAAATAAAGTTTAAAAAGATATTTCTATGAGATGCCATCTTTTCCAATCTACTCACTTCAATTTGACTTCTACTGTCCTGGGTTTGCCTGTAATATCACATATGTCTCCACCACTGTAGAACAGGGAAATAAATCTGAAAAACAAACAACAGTGATATCACATATATCTCCACCACTGTAGAACAGGGAAATAAATCTGAAAAACAGACAACAATGATATCACATATGTCTCCACCACTGTAGAACAGGGAAATAAATCTGAAAAACAGACAACAGTGATATCACATATATCTCCACCACTGTAGAACAGGGAAATAAATCTGAAAAACAGACAACAGTGATATCACATATATCTCCACCACTGTAGAACAGGGAAATAAATCTGAAAAACAGACAACAGTGATATCACATATATCTCCACCACTGTAGAACAGGGAAATAAATCTGAAAAACAGACAACAGTGATATCACATATATCTCCACCACTGTAGAACAGGGAAATATATCTGAAAAACAGACAACAGTGATATCACATATATCTCCACCACTGTAGAACAGGGAAATAAATCTGAAAAACAGACAACAATGATATCACATATATCTCCACCACTGTGGAACAGGGAAATATATCTGAAAAACAGACAACAATAATATCACATATATCTCCACCACTGTAGAACAGGGAAATATATCTGAAAAACAGACAACAGTGATATCACATATATCTCCACCACTGTAGAACAGGGAAATAAATCTGAAAAACAGACAACAATGATATCACATATATCTCCACCACTGTAGAACAGGGAAATAAATCTGAAAAACAGACAACAATGATATCACATATATCTCCACCACTGTGGAACAGGGAAATATATCTGAAAAACAGACAACAATGATATCACATATATCTCCACCTCTGTAGAACAGGGAAATAAAGTAAGAAGTTAGAGGTTTCAAATGCAGATTTGATACTTGCAAATGTCATTTGTAACTGAAAGCATTTGTGTAAAGTTTTGAATTTGATAATGTTGAGGCATCAAATTTGGGTTTGAAACTCTGCATTAAAATCCCAGAGGAATGCAGAGTTCTAAAATGTTATGGATGAATTATTCTTGAGAAATTCTGCATACATTAAAGAGCACAATATGTGCCATGGTTCACTAAGTAGTCACAATGGTTGTGAACAGTAATGTCCCGGTAAACAGTGAATGAGTGAGTGAGTTGGGTTAAACACCGCTTCGAACATTATTCCAGATACATTATGGCGTGTCAGCTTGATATAGGCGAAAGCCCGAACTGATGCAGGACACATATTTCACTTTGGTGAAACCCCAAAGTACAGGTATGGTGCTGACAGACCTAGAAACATAATCATGGCGAACCGGGATTCAAACCCCCAATCACATGTTTCCAGCATGCCTAAGGGATGACAGTGAAATGTGGCACCTAAGATGACCGGGCCAACTTACCCCCTCCAGATTAACAGGTTTTCACTGTACATTATATTGGAGTACTTAACAACCACACAAGCCTACTTTTAATCCAGACTTCCAAGAACATCTCTGTGGTGTAGTGGATAGTGGATAGTGAGCGAAAAGTCAGTTTTTCGATTCCTTGTCCAAGTTATATGGTAACATGGTAAAATGGTATGTCTCATGCTTGACATTAAGGTAAAACAAGGACTGCTTGGCCTGGATTCCGTATGCGGTGTCTAAGAGGGACATCCATAATATCTCAGTGGATTAGCACTATAAAACTGGTATTAGTTCGGACTAGTAAAAGCAGCCACACACACATACACACACGCCAGCATGCATGTGGCTATATGAATATAATAATTTTGAATGCAACATTAAAACCCCACCTCACCTTACTTCCAAAATGGCTTAGGCTAAAAAAAATAATAGTCATGGCTCTTAGGCACCACCCACATCATTATGAAGTCTGCCGCGCATGTAGTTTTTATTTTAATTTAAAAAAACAAAAAACTCCTTCACAATTCCGCGTCTCAAACACACGACCCTGGCAGTGAAATGCTACAATATTTAAAACCAAAGTGATCCAATATAGGCAGGAATACAAGGATACATTTATGTAGGGAGGCACTTTCCCAGGTTGATTGTACACAACTGTTTCTTTGGGACATTCTCGTTTTAACAACCAAAATATATAAAAAACACCGCCCGCACGCACTATATTTTCAAAAGCCATTGTCTGAAAACCAATTCTTTAATTTTTTAAAGCCTTTAAGACAACTGTGAGGATCTACTTACTTTCTTTTTCCTATTTCTCGTGGTCGTTTTTGAGTATTTTGCTCCAACCACAGTAAATGAGCTGCTTCATTCCAGAGACCTAAATTGATGACTGTTCTTCCCTGAGAATCCTGAATCGCAATACACTTGTATTAGACATGATTGGCTTCATCAACACAATGAGAACATAACGACTATATCTTACACATTTTTGGAAAAATCATGAAATTTACTCTCAATTGTGAACAAATTCTTACATTTCCGTTATTACGACGACAAATTGATATTTGAAACGTTCCAGTACTTACATCATGATATTGTCTTGCATATATTCCATAACAAAATTCGTATTTCCACCATCCCTGGCCCTAGAACAAAAGACATCAGTAATATTAACATGCCAACCCACAGCAGGGTCCGATATCAAACATCTGAGTCAAGCTGAACCCAGTGTTCCTGCTGGCTTTTCAAACTGCCAGTCCCAGGGGACTCGCAACTCTAAAAATTACCAGTCCCAGGGGACTCGCAACTCTAAAAATTACCAGTCCCAGGGGACTCGCAACTCTAAAAATTACCAGTCCCAGGGGACGCGCAACTCTAAAAATTGCCAGTCCCAGGGGACTCGCAACTCTAAAAATTACCAGTCCCAGGGGACTCGTAACTCTAAAAATTACCAGTCCCCACCAATTTTTGTCAGACCTTTTTGTCAGTCCCAACTTTGAACAAACTTAAATCGTATGAAATTGTCCCCACCAATTTTTGTCAGTCCTTTTTGTCAGTCCCAACTTTGAACAAACTTAAATCGTATGAAATTTACCTGTTTTAATTCTTTCAACATAAATCTCAATGCATTGTACTTTCATGGCTGACAATTCAGTGACTTCATTTCTGAAGTAACACGCAATTTGGATATGATGACATTCATGAACCAAGTCAGCAAGCCTGAGCTGTAAGTCGCCTCTTCCAACAAGCATAGTCGCCTCTTATGGCAAGCATGGGATGCTGAAGACCTATTCTCTACCCGGATCTTCACGGGTCAGGTCCTGAATTGGTTGGTTGGTTTGGTTGGTTTGTTGTTTTACGCCGCACTCTATGACGGCGGTCTGTAAATAATCAAGTCTGGAGCAGACAATCCAGTGATTGATATCATGAGCATCGGTCCACGCAATTAGGACCGATGACATGCATCAACCAAGTCAGCGAGCCTGACCACCCGATCCCGAAAGTCGCCTTTTACGACAAGCATAGTCGCCTTTTACGGCAAGCATGGGTTGCTGAGGACCTATTCTACCCCGGATCTTCACGGGTCAGATTACACTATCAAGATACAAATTGAAACGCCATAGGAGAAGACCTCAGGGATCCAGGATCCCCTTAATTTCGAACACTATGGGCACCAAATGGTTACAACTGTCACCGATTCAAAATGTCAATAATAACATACTGACTGAAAGATATACCTCAGAGTAATAACAGAGAGTGTCAAAGAAACAGGTTCTTCAGAATGATAAATAAGTTGTTTGAGCTTTCAGGCTTATACTTGGCTTATAAGAACAATGATAAATCGCTACCTAAATCTATAAATGATAGGCCTTGGAGAAATACAGTCTCCAGTGAAAAATCCAAGGTAGACACACCCCTTTAAGACAATAGTCTCCAGTCATGAACTCCAAGGTAGACACACCCCTTTAAGACAATAGTCTCCAGTCATGAACACCAAGGTAGACCTACCCCTTTAAGACAATAGTCTCCAGTCATGAACTCCAAGGTAGACGCACCCCTTTAAGACAATAGTCTCCAGTCATGAACTCCAAGGTAGACACACCCCTTTAAGACAATAGTCTCCAGTCATGAACTTCAAGGTAGACACACCCCTTTAAGACAATAGTCTCCAGTCATGAACTCCAAGGTAGACCTACCACTTCAAGACAATAGTCTCCAGTCATGAACTCCAAGGTAGACACACCCCTTTAAGACAATAGTCTCCAGTCATAGACTCCAAGGTAGACCTACCCCTTTAAGACAATAGTCTCCAGTCATAGACTCCAAGGTAGACCTACCCCTTTAAGACAAGTCTCCAGTCATGAACACCAAGGTAGACCTACCCCTTTAAGACAATAGTCTCCAGTCATAGACTCCAAGGTAGACCTACCCCTTTAAGACAATAGTCTCCAGTCATGAACTCCAAGGTAGACACACCCCTTTAAGACAATAGTCTCCAGTCATAGACTCCAAGGTAGACCTACCCCTTTAAGACAATAGTCTCCAGTCATGAACTCCAAGGTAGACACACCCCTTTAAGACAATAGTCTCCAGTCATGAACTCCAAGGTAGACCTACTCCTTTAAGATAATAGTTTCCAGTCAAAAATCCAAGGTAGACCTACCACTTTAAGACAATAGTCTCCAGTCATGAACTCCTTGGTAGACCTACCCCTTTAAGACAATAGTCTCCAGTCATGAACTCCTTGGTAGACCTACCACTTTAAGACAATAGTCTCCAGTCATGAACTCCAAATTAGACCTACCCCTTTAAGACAATAGTCTCCAGTCATGAACTCCTTGGTAGACCTACCCCTTTAAGACAATAGTCTCCAGTCATGAACTCTCGCAGCAGCTGCTTGTCGGTGGTGGAGCCCAGATTGTGCTGCTCGACGTACTGTGGGGGCATCTTGGTGGCCACGTTGTCTGGCACCACCTCTGGGGTCGGCTGTGGAGCTGGCTCCTGTCAAAACAGCATCCACTTATCTGACACACGTTAACATTTATTTTGTTTGTTTGTTGTTTAACGCCACACACACAATATTCCTGCTATCCTGTTAGTCGCCTCGTACAACAAGCAGGGGATGCAGAAGGCCAATTTTAACCTGGTTCTTCACCAGAGTCATTTTTATACTGCAGTGACGATGAGAAAGTGTGTGGAAATTAGTCCTGCAACCAATACACTATGAGGCAAATACGATTCATATCAAGAATATAGGGTAACGAATATGAATATTAATTCACGAATACAATAACAAATCAACAGTTGATGTCTTATTTATTATATTCAGTGAAACAATAACAACATAAATTATCTGACATGGTTTGTTAATTATTAATATATTATACATATATATACTGCACTTATCCAGGTACTTGTATCTGCTCAAAAGCGACAATGACCAGTGACCACATTACTGTCAAATTAAATATTATAAGAGTGTTGTCTTTGAAAGAAATCTATGCATCAACATATTCTTATGGATATTTTTAGGTACGGGGTATGTAAATGCACATGATTGCAGATTCATAAATATTCGATTCTAGTGGCCACAAATAACGAATTCAATTCATGAATGGATACAGTTCGATTCACCGAATACGCAAGTGAAGTGGAGATCAGTTGCAATGGCTTCTATCACAGCTGCCTACTTCAAGAGACACCAGCTGGAAGACAGCTGGAAATTAACAAGGGACCTAAACTGTCTTGCGTGTGTGTGCGAGTTGTTCTTTCAACAATTAAATCAAGGTTCCATATTGTACATCGGCAAACAATCTCAGTCTGTTATTTCTTTTCATTTGCAGTGTTTGAAATTAACACAAGCATGATAGTCTGAGACTAGTAAAAATCAGGAAGGACTAGTGACATTTCCTTGTGGACTACCAGTTTATACTCATTACCTAGAAAAGAATATTTTTACAGAATTTTGAAACAAAAATTAACTTCTATATCTGATCGGTATATTAAATACACAAGGCCGGATCCAACATTTTCAAAAGGGAGGGGTCCAAAATATCAAAATCCTCTCTAAGATAATTTTTCTGGCTACACCATACCACATTTGGTTTTCAAAAGAGGGAGGGGGTGGGGAACAGGTGGAGGACCCCACTCTAGATCCGCCTATGATTCAGGTAACACAGTGTACAATAACTTACTTACTCATTTTCATTTCAACCACATCACAATATTTATTGAGAAATAACATTGTGTGAATTTTAGTTACTGCATTCGACATAATAAGCGTTCAGGGTGCTCTCAAAATTAGAAAAAGGGTACTCTTATTAGAATATTATTTGGTGAAAAACAGCAGAGTTGAAAGATCGTAAATTTCGTGGTTTATTCTGACAGCCTGAAATGTTTATATACGACAGATATATTTTTCCAGAATATAATTTCCCATAATTAAGGATGCATATAACACATGTATTATACATGAATAAATAAGTCTTGTGCACATTGAACAATCGGAAGGGGTGCTAATTGGGATTGTTCACTAGCCAATATATTAGCAAATATCGCCGTGGGCACTTATTACATGGGTATTATGTTGAATACGATATCAATTTCAGCAGTTAAGCCTAAAAACATGGAACACACTGCGTCCAAAGATGAAGAATTTGAAATCCAGGACATATTTGTCCAAGAGTATGAACTACTGTCTTCTGAACAAACCTGAATTGACAGATTATTTCAATTAACAGATAGTGTCTCATGTACATTCAATATTACAGTGATTTCTCATTACATCGCTACCTTCGGGGTCCATATAATTGATGAGCGTTATAGATGATCAGCGGTTTAACAAAGGTTGTGTCGTAGGTGGTAGATGACCAACAATACAGTATACATGCTCTGCCTACCTAACACGATCTACGTTGCCATTCTAGAGTTTCAAAGAAGATTAGAATAGAAGTTATTTATGATTCATAGTGTAAATTTTTTTTTATGGAGTATTAATATGCTTTGTGCTATAAAAAAACCCACATTGTATCCCTTCAGCATATTCAGGTGAATAAACAGGTATAACAAACTTGGTCAATAAAAGTATAAAATTTGATATAAAACATCACAAGACATGATGATTTACCTTTTGAATTGTATTTCCTGCTCTCCAAGGCATTGTTTTATGTGCAGAGATTAAGATTGCCGTGCGTATTTTCTTGTAAACTAAGCCGGAAATAGCAATCAGCTGTGCACACGTTTCCTCCCAATCTACCGGTGATTCACTTAAAAAGTACCCAATGATACAACTTCAAAGAATTCTGATGCAATGGTCGGAAGAAATTGTATCTGAAATTATTATTTTATCAGGAATAATATATTCCAATATCGTGTTATTTTAAATGCAGCTTCAACCATACATACTTAAAATTATAAGAGCCATAAGCGTAGCACTTTGGTACAGATGGTATGCAGGATATTTTTTGACGTATGGAACGATTTTGACCAGTCACCGTAAGAGCTTCCCGCGCTACATGTATCATCATGTTGACATTTTCCAAGTATTCTGTCCAACACAAGACGTTCGGTCCTGACTACCACAGCTGCTTACCGGAGAGGGTGTTCTGGTGTGGGCTACATTTCTTTCCATTCTCTTTAATTGTGTTGGTTTCGTTGGGGATCCATCAAGAGCGCGGCACTGTATCTCACCCACAGGCGAATTCTTGGGTCTGAAAAATGTAGTTAGCGAAATGTCATCTGCCTTTTAAGGGTAAACACAGGTCTGAATAGGACAGTCAGCTCAGTCAGTACCAAGGGGGCCAGTCACCTGGTGAGACACACTAACAACAGTTGCTTCCCTTGGACATGCCAGGATCAGCTGGTCATGGGTTCGTGTCTCAGCTTTGCCCTGATTATTTCCAGGTTTGTCAGCACCATACCTGTGCTCATTAGTTACACAAAAGTGGTACAGTTCTACCAGCTGCGTCCCTTTGGGGTTTTATCCCACAAAGCTGATGATCTGTGATATTACTGAAGTGTGAGTGAGTGAGTATGGTTTTACGCCGCTTTTAGCAATATTCCAGCAATATCACGGTGGGAGACACCAGAAATGGGCTTCACACATTGTACCCATGTCTTTGGCATGACGAGTGAACGCTTTAACCACTAGGCTACCCGACCGCCCCTTATTACTGAAGAACTGACCAAAGCAAATGGTGACCATCTGAGAACAAGTTGTAAGATTTGGACTCTGTGTGGCATCCTTAATACTGACATAGTGGTACTGTTCTAAAACATAGACACGGCAATGATTGCAGTCAGGTATATGGTCATGTGACGGTCATGTGATTCCTCTCAGTTCTGGACGAGATGACCAAACACACAGCAAGTCTTTGATTGTTTGTTTGTTGTTTAATGCCGCACTCAGCAATATTCAGCGGTCTGTACGTAATCGAGTCTGAACTAGACAATCCAGTGATTGACATCATGAGCATCGATCCACACAATTGGGTTTGATGACATGCAGCAACCAAGTCAGAAAGTCTGACCGCCCGATCCCGTCAGTCGCCTCTTACAGCAAGCACAGCAAGTAGATGAATCGGATGATATAAAGTAAATTTAAGTGATCTTGCATTATTCCAAGTGATTTCTACCTGAAGTCTGGATGTCCACACAGCACAGATGTCAACACCATCATCTCGTATTCACATGTCGACATCTCCTTGAACTCGTAGATTTCCCCGTGGCCATCCGGCTGACACACGTACAAGATGCGTGTTCTCCGAGGCTGTTGTGTCAGATCACACGCGGTTCCATCGGTCATGTTTACTTCATAATAGGGGAGAGAAATACCTTCTACTTTCCGGATCTTTATCTGAAACAAATTACCATAACACAAATAGATCATACAAATTACAACCATACAAATACCATCATACAAATACCATCATACAAATACCATCATACAAATACACCATACAAATACCATCATACAAATTACCACCATACAAAAACATCATACAAATTACCATCATACAAATACCATCATACAAATACCATCATACAAATTACAACAATACAAATACCATCATACAAATTACCATCATACAAATACCATCATACAAATACCATTAAACAAATACACCATACAAATACCATCATACAAATTACCACCATACAAAAACCATCATACAAATTACCATCATACAAATACCATCATACAAATACCATCATACAAATTACCATCATACAAATACCATCATACAAATTACAACCATACAAATACCATCATACAAATTACCATCATACAAATACCATCATACAAATACCATCATACAAATACACCATACAAATACCATCATACAAATACCATCATCCAAATTACCATCATCCAAATTACAACCATACAAATACCATCATACAAATTACCATCATACAAATACCATCATACAAATTACCATCATACAAATACCATCATACAAATACCATCATACAAATTACCATCATACAAATACCATCATACAAATTACCATCATACAAATACCATCATACAAATTACCATCATACAAATACCATCATACAAATTACCATCTTACAAATACCATCATACAAATACCATCATACAAATTACCATCATACAAATACCATCATACAAATACCATCATACAAATACCACCATACAAATTACCATCATACAAATTACCATCATACATATACCATCATACAAATTACAACCATACAAATACCATCATACAAATACCATCATACAAATACACCATACAAATACCATCATACAAATTACAACCAAACAAATACACCATACAAATACCATCATACAAATTACCACCATACAAAAACCATCATACAAATTACCATCATACAAATACCATCATACAAATACCATCATACAAATTACCATCATACAAATACCATCATACAATTACCATCATACAAATTACCATCATACAAATACCATCATACAAATTACCATCTTACAAATACCATCATACAAATTACCATCATACAAATACCATCATACAAATTACCATCATACAAATACATCATGTTCGCAGTTTTCCTACACTGTAAATAAATTGCTCATAAATTACTCCCAAAACAAATTCTTCAACTGACTGGACGGACGCAAAGTTGTTTTGAACTCATATTCTCTGTGATTACTTTCTCCATTTTGGCCTAAGTTAGTCACAAGTCCTATAAAGATGCAAACGTACAGTGTGTGGTTTATACTGATTAAAAAGATCTTTACAAGATTTTGATCATACAGTGTATTCATAAAAGCACCATGATTTATCTCCCTTTGATCATGATAGGCAACTGTGTGCCCAAAATATATCTTCACCAGTGAGTAGTGTCTGTCCTGCCTTGCGGTATGAGAGAAGCCCAAAAACACATTATGTATTATTATCAGATCTGGCAACTTGTGTTATTGTCTACACTTCAGAATAAACATCTGTCGGAGACCTTAAGTGAAAGCATAACCAAGGGACATCACTCTCGAGATTGTCAAATTGAGATTGTCAACAAATGGCAACCCGGGCCATTGGGTTGTCAGTGCATTGTTTTTGCTTACTTCTTATTAACACAATGGGGAATCAACCACAGTGACTTGATAACAACTGACTGACCAGTCAGAATCAAGTTGTCTCCAAGTCATATGATCCACTGAATAGTATGCGTACAGCAATTACAGTATCAGTAGGTAAAACTACACACTAGTCTGACTGACATGCATCCTAACTAAAGGTACAGCACTGGAACCTGCTTACAGGACAACCTTCTTCATCTTCCTGAGGCAAGGATGTTAACTGACTATAAAAGTCCAGTTTCCATCCTTGCCGAACTAGGCTGGAATTTCGAAGCTCAATAGTGGCACCACCAGTGGCTATTACGAGTTATGTCCCTTCTACTGACCAATTAGCTCATATCGCTTGCATTTGCTTCAAACAAAATGGCGGCTATCAGTCAAGATGATCTGATCGATAATCAAGATCCATATTGTAATAAAAACAGGTTTGTCAACGCCAAGTTAGTGGAACACATTCTTTGCAAAGCTTGCAGTCGACCGAAATCTACACATTCAAATCAATGTTGTTTACCAACCAGATGTCCTATGCGATTTTGATTGGACTATGCATAGACTTGTTAGTCCTCCCAAAATGTAAATCCGGAATTCCAGCCTTGTTCAGCAAGCGTGGAAACTGGAATCTAATGTCAGTCCCCTTGCCTCAGGAAGATGAACCTTGTCAATCTGGACAGGGTCCATTCATTCCCAGGGGTGTCCAAATACCAAAATTCCCTACTTGCCCAACTATAAAAATCTCCTTTTCCAGCCTGACTTTCAACTTCCCCTGCTGAATCAGAGAGAAGTAAAACTTTAATTTTGACAAATCTTTACAAATGAAGCGATGGAAGATGTGCAGAATTGAAAAATGACTAGTCATGTATTTCGTCTGCAGTTGACAAACACACGATGCATCTTCTAAGTTTCAAAGTTAACACCCATGATTTCCATACTTGCCAAGCGCTTTCTTTTCACGGGTCAGGCAAGTCAGGGAATACTGCTTGAACACCCCTGATTCCTACTCCAACAAGCATGAAATACTTATATCCCCTTCCAATATGACATGTCCAGTTGTGTGCAAGGCAGTAGCCCTCTGGAAACAAGCACTACGTCATTCAAAGTCGTTGCCATGGAAACTCGAAAAATAAAATTTTCAAAAATGCCATCCTATCAAAATGCATGAGATTACCACTAGACCTATCTATGTGCCAAGTTTGGCGAAGAAATATTGTATGGTTTTCAAGATATGCTCCGGAAAGGAGCACTACCGCCATTTTCAGTCTAAGTCAAAGTCGTTGCCATGGAAACTTGAAAACTTTTTTTTCCAAAAATCCCAAACTATCAAAAGGCAACAGTTCACCACATGTGCCAAGTTTGGTGAAGATATCTCTCATTTTTTTTTAGTTTGGCTCCGGAAACGAAATGTGATGGACGGAAATACGGAAGGACTTAATCGTAGGTACTGAAGAACATACACCACCGACAAACTTCGTTACATATTGATACTCACATTTGATGATTCTGAAACATGAGAAACAAACAATAATGGATACCAGTAATCACAATATTCACTTTACTCAGTCTGCAACATTTGACAATTGTGTGAAGGTTCATGATCAGTGTTTGCATGGGTCTCCAAAATAATGGGGTCCCCTTGTACAAGTGTGAGTGAGTGAGTGAGTTGGGATTAACTCCACTTTTAACAGTATTCCAGTTATATCGCGGCGTGTCAGCTTGATGTGGGAGGAAAGCCCGAAGTGATGCAGGTCTCAGACGTTTACCACTTCAGTGAAAACCACGAGCACGGGTATGGTGCTGACAAACCTAGAAACATAATCGGGGCGAACCGGGATTCGAACCCACAATCATAGGTTTCTGGCGTGCCCAATGGACACCACTCTGCACAGGAAATCGCGGCGCCTTAGACGACTAGGCCACCCGTGCCCCCCCTTGTATGAGTTAGCCGCAGCTATCTAGGAGGAATCTTGGTGCATCCCACCACACACCCCCACCACCCCCATGTAATTTTTTCAAATGTAGACCTAAAATGGTATATTTTAAGCCATTCTGAGCACAAATAATGTGTCTGGTTGAAATGTTTAAGTGTCTGTGTACCATATGGATTTTGGGAGGCAAGAGAAACTCGAAACAAAACAACGATAAACTTTTTTCAAAATGAAAAACACGTAAGGGCACGCATGTAGGTTTCTTTTTTGGCATCCCATTTGTTTTCAGTGCATGTTTTTGTACATGGGACGCCCTATCTGCAAACACTGATTATATATAGAGACTAACTTTTCTTGTGATCTATAATCTATGTCAAGGATGCTACTGTTGCCCTATTGTTGTCTTCTTACTCAAATTCTATGGTGTATTTTAATCAACCGGTTGAAGATTACCCAGGTCACACAGACCTAGAGTAGAAATGAAGACCAGACTGTTGCAGCATGTGGACAACTCACAGTGCAACTAGTTACAGTTAATGTTCAAGTCAGGGAGTTAAGATCATCGTAGTGCTACAACCACTTCATGCAACTGGGCCTTGGCACCAACACATTCTTGAACCACTCACCAGAATCGTCTTTTTTATCCACTTTTCCATAACCAAGAAAGTATTCTTGAACTTTAGGTTTCTGAAACATGATGACCAAATATTTGTTATCTACAATATATCAAACTTCTGAAATCTTTCTCACATAAATCATAGGAATAGTTTTCTGACTTTAATACACCAACTGTACGATCCGATACGTATCACGATACCTTGCTCATGATCCGATATGTATCTCGATACTTGCATGTGCTCTTATCTTTGGCAATCACAATCACAATTTTTTTCATAGACAGGATGGCCAAATACATGGCACACTAACAACTTACAGTTGGCAGTATCAAGTATGGCGTAACGGATGAAAATATTTACGTTTTCACTACTCATTTTCACGAGTAATTAGTGTTTGGTGTAACATTTATTAAAGAATACATTTAAGGTATGAATCGATACTTTTTACTTAGTGTGGAATTGTGATCGATACTTGTATCGAGAAATGAAAAATTGTGATCCACCGATGCATCGGTGTATCGTCCCACTACTACTGCATGATGTCAATCACTGGATTGTCTGGTCCAGACTTGATTATCTACAGACCGCTGAGAGCAGCGTTAAACAACAAACAAACAAACAAAACTAATGCACTAACCTGCCCGACATCTTTTGTCTCATGATATTGTCGCAGGTGTTTGCCATGACATAGTTCGTACGTCCAATAACTTTCAATCTAAAAAAACATCCAATGTAGGACAAATAATTACTGATGTGAGGAAAACATGCGAGGAAAGTGTAGCAGAACTGTATCTAGCCTGACACTTTATGAAATCTAGCCATCGGATTGGCCAGTCACTATCTTGTAACAAAACTCACATATGCAGGCTCAATGACCTTTACGAATACCGTGAGGCCCTGTGTCAGAAATCAAGGCTGAACGTCAAGGGGTTAATATCGTAACCCTAATGGTATAAATTCAAGATCAAGGGGTTTCCAAAATTTTAACTGCATCAGAACGCTTTAATGCTTCAAATAACCCCACCAAAATATTCAAAACCCAATTACTTTCAATTGACTTGTGAAATGCATGCATTAAATGAAAAACTCACATGTATAAAAACAGCACGCATAAATACCCCATGGAGCTTTTTCAGCATGCGTACAAAGGAGCTAATTTCCAAAACGCAATTACGAGCTTATTTACTTTCCGAATCAAGCCTACATTTATAACCTAAAAATACATCTAAAACATTATTTCATTTTTTTTTAAATCTCAAAATGTTTAGTCATTTGGGGAAAAACCCAATAGAGTGATGAATAGATGAGGGAAAAAATATTGGTCAGTGAAAAATGTAATAACCCAATTAAAATTGAAACCTTCGAGTAAAAACTCAATTGCTCAAAAAGTTATCTGGAGCTGTGGTAGTTGATCATGTTGCTGTCTCACCCGGTATGAACATGTGGTCTGAGTAAAGAGAATGTTCATCAGTTCATCAGCTGTCTGCCCCTCATAGTCGCTTTTAGAGCTCTGTGGAGAGACGAGGGAGGGAGTGAACATTTAAGAAATGAAGTTGATATTGTGTTGGTTTACTGGAGTATGAAAGCTTTGAACCGTGCAAGTTAACGTCTATAAATTCATATTTTGAAGTTTAAGGGATGCCAATTTTACTGTGAACCACATTTTAGGTGAATTATGTACATCAATTACATTGTGACCAACATTGCTAACTTCATCTGATTTGTTGACTGTGCGCTGTGTTCAAGACCATGTGTCTTTCTTATTTGTGTTTATGGTTCATATCGTCAGAAATGCCGATAAATACCATATTTCTGTTGAATTTACCAAATTAATTCCCTTATTCTTTCTACAATACTCTTCCCAACCATAATCTAAAAATATTGAGTTATTGCTTGCAACGAATAGATGAATGCATCTCTCAAAATAGGAGAACGAGTTTGAAAGGTATGTGATGAAATAGACGTCTTAATAACTGGCATACATGAAACGTGAATTTGAAAACACAGTCCAAACATGGTAGAAAGTTCACTTCGGCGTTCGTGTTTACATATTTTCGAAAACATTTTGAACCAATTCTAGGGTTATCGGCGACATTTCACAATGATCACTAGTGATCTGATCCAAAAACCTTTCAACTGAGATCGCTAATATGCTATTATTGAAATTCAATTCTCCAAGTCAATATTGAATATTTAGAGATCCTAACATACACTAGGGCCTTAATAACGCTGTAAATGGTGATTTATTAATGTGTCAAAAATTGCAAGATTTACGATGTTTCTAATTTTCAGAGGTCATTTTCAGAAATTATCCTTTACCTAAAATGAAAGTGGATGATTTCACAGAACAGGGAATTCCCCACAGAATTAAAAACCTTGAAGTGTATTTATGTGTGTGACGTTTTTTTAAATTTTATTTGACTTCAAAGTGATTGTTAAAAAGGAGGGACATATATGCCCCTGTGGCATCCAGAGGGTTAATGCGAACATGTAAATAAGAGTTTAATGAAACCTTGAGTGAAAAAGAATTGTTAATTTTTCGTCCTACATTGCCGATCCTACAGATCATGATAAGCAGGGGAGACAACAGAGAAATGTTCAACTCGGGGATTCCCCATGAAATGTAGTTCCTGTCAAAAAGCATGTAAACGTCAAAAGGTGAAGTGTACACTTTGTAAACGACACTTTTCGTTTGTTGAAAAATGAACGGGTCATGTGAGCAGCTAATGAACTCACATCAACAGAATCCCTTAAATTTTAAAATACGGATTTATTTATACATGTATATTAATATATATCATTGTGACCTGCACAGAGGTATGTCATTACACATTTATATCCATGTATATCTCATGGTGACTTGGAAGGGTTATTCTACAACATAACTACCATGACTACCAGCGTACAATTCATAAATCACGAGCGATGCACAGAAGAAAGGCGGAGTACTGAGTTATGAGTAAATATTGACATGATTTATCATGTTAATAGGCAAAATATTGCATCGCATGGTATCAGGACAACGGTCCCCCAGAGGGGACACGGGTAGCCCAATTGTCTAAAGCACCGTGATTCGCTGTGCAGAGTTGCGTCCCTTAGGCACACCAGGAACCTATGACTGTGGGTTCAAATACCGACGCCAGAAACTTATGATTGTAGGTTCGAATCCTGGTTTCCTCGATTATGTTTCTAGGTTTGTCAGCACCATACCCATGCTTGTGGGTTTCACCGAAGTGGTAAACGTCTGATACCTGCATCACTTCGGGCTTTCCTCCCACATTAGGCTGACACGCTGCAATATAACTGTAATACTGTTAAAAGCAGCGTAAAACCCATCTCACTCACTGTCCCCCAGAGAACTGCTCCCTGGAAATCTACATAAGTATAGGAAGCACCAGTAGTCGATGCAATCTATCCCTTTAAACATGTAAATGTAAATCTATTTATTGGAAGCAACATGTGCAGCAGACTCTTGACTCAAAATTACTCCCGAGAGTCGGCGTGACTCACAAACAGATAGATCCAGGTAAGTCCTTGCAGCAATCTCATTAAAACCAGATCTTATTTCTCGTTACCTCTAAACAAAGATCTGAGGACATCCAATGAGGGGTCACGTCAGACCGACCTTGCGCAAACTTTGACCGACCTATAGAATGACCAATCAGAAGGCAGCTTTCTCGTGCTTTGCGGCACAAATTTCAAATTGGCGACTACGCTTCGAAACATATTTTGACAAATTCTCGATTACAAATTTGAAACGTGAAAAAAAATTTATTCTGGAATGGCTGATACATGGTCTCGATTGTAAGGATTCAGTCGTTAAACCTGTAACTATCGTTCAGAATACCCCATGTTAACGTTTTCGAGATTGCATGATTAGAAATCACATTCCGACTGTCACTTTCATAATCTGGTAAGCGATGCACTGATTGGTCGGATAAAAGGTCGTTCTGACGTGACCCCTAACGGGATGTCTTCAGAATTTTGTTTTGCTGTAGCGAGAACTTAGGTCTGATTTTAATGAGATTGGTCCTTGCAGGTATCAAGACTTCATTCATTCCCCCATGTTAATCCCAGTAGACATGGTAGAAGGCTACTCACATCTCTCTTGTCGCGTGACTCGGGCAGGATGCACTGGTACCTCTCCTTGTTTGTGGTCATAACGACTACCCGGCTTTCATCAACTGTCTGGAAGAAAAACAAAGAAAGTGGAGAGAACTTGTATATAAACATGTTTTGTTGAGACGATTCACTGTTTCCATGTGTTCTAATGTTAAGCATTTAGCATGATTAAGAAACTGGTATACTCATGATACTTGGGTACTTTGTTTTCACCTTAAAAATGTTGAATTTCTTTCTGGATTGAACATGTTTGCATGAGGTTAGGAATTTGATAGTGTTACAGGTTTTAAATCAGAATTTTGATACTTCTAAACACATGCTAATATTGAACACACAGTCTTTTTATCTCCATTCTACCATGACATAATAAATGCTGATCAGCGCTGATTGTCTACATTTATGCACTTGTCAGACTTGACTTGATCAAAATGTATGGAGTTACTTCAGATTACACTGGATGCAGTGGATAGCTAACCCTAACCATGCTGACCATGTCATTAACTCACAACTAATCCTCAGGATGGAAAGGGTGAACCCAACTCTAAGGAACATTAAGAGGTGTTGGATGGTCTAGGAGTGCCCAAGGTCGATGAAGAGGTGTTTGTTTAGAAATGGGACAGATGGATAGATAAGAGTGAGTGAGTGAGTATGGTTTTACGCCGCTTTTAGCAATATTCCAGCAATATCACGGTGGGGGGCACCAGAAATGGGCTTCACACAATGTACCCATGTCGGGAATCGAATCGGGTCTTCGGCGTGACAAGCGAACGCTTTAACCACCCGGATAGATAAGAAGCACATGAGGTAAGTTGAGTGAGAGCCACAGCCTGAGCCAATAAGCAGTAGGCAAAAGTTGGTAAAGTGCAATCTTGCTACTATCAACCACAGCCATATTGAGTGACCTGGCTCTATGGGTCATGGTTCCCTGTTATGTGAATCATTGCACACACATGCTACGAACCACTGATTATAGGGTCAGTTATTCACTTGCCACCATGATATAGCTGGAGTGAGTGAGTGAGTGAGTGAGTTGGGTTTAACGCCGCTTTTAACAATATTCCAGTTAAAACGCGGGGTGTCAGCTTAATGTGGGAGGAAAGCCCGAAGTGATGCAGGTCTCAGACGTTTACCACTTCGGTGAAGCCCACGAGCACGGGTATGGTGCTGACAAACCTAGAAACATAATCGGGGCGAATCGGGATTCGAACCCACAATCATAAGTTTCTGGCGTGCCCAAGGGACACAACTCTGCACAGCGAATTGCAGCGCCTTAGACGACTGGGCTACCCGTGCCCCCTAATATAGCTGGAATACTGATGTCTGTAGCATACAACATTCACTCAAACACCAGCTGGGTTCTCCCAGCATTAGAAATTGGCACTAGTCCTATAGTCCTTGCCAAACTGCCCAATAGTTGAGGTATCATAAGGACTAATAGAAATTTGCCATTTTTACGGGTTTTGCTATTTGCTATCATTATAAGGACTAGTGGAAATAAAATGGTAGTTTCTACCGCTGTTCTCCTGTAAATTATCTCACACCATTCCGCGAAGTAAAGTTAATGAAATCAGTCGGCAAAGAATAACAGCTTTGATGACGAATCAGCTTCTTGTCAAAATTACATGGTATACATTAGTCAATGAGGAATAGAGTACACTTTACACTGAACAGCTGGAGAAATATGTGCACTGCTCCTAAACCCTGACAGTGGAACGTGTTACTTTGTGAATAACCAGCTGAACACCATGGATACTCTGTAGACCTAGTCTACTGTATAGCAGATTTGAGGTGAGGTGAATGGGTTTTAGAATTCTTAGAAGTTGACTGCTGACAAAATAGATAAAAAGACTTTATGGATAACAACTTCTTTGTTACACTGTAACAGCGACAACGGTATAAGGATCTATACTGAAACGTTTCTATTTCAGTATAATACAGAAGTTGTTATCCATAACAAAAATTGTCTACTGGGCTATGTTTTTTAATGTTAACGACTTGAGACATCTACAGGCTTTGCTCCAAGATTTTACATAAAGACGCATGAAAGAATGTGTGGGCAAGTGTGAAAGTGAAGCTAAAAAAACTAACAATCAAACAAACAGATGGGTGCAGACTAGGGCTGGGACGAGTCCAAATTTGCTACCCGGGTACCCACCTCCCTATTACCCGACCCTACCTGCTGTGGGTCGTAAGAGATAGGTAAAACATGTCCGATTGGGAATAGTTTGACCGTACTCCTGTCAAAATAGATTTAGATACACGTATAAACCGATCTGGTCATGCATACACTGAAGTTGACTGATGTTTTTTCATTATCCAAACATATAAAGTCAGAAGGAATGTGTGCAAAGTCAGAAAGAAATGTGAACATTTATCACTAATAGTGTAACCACAGAGTTCTTGATACTTTTTGCCATTTAACGATATAATCACGTGACTAACCACGGGTCCTACTCGGTACCCACCCGACCCAGGTACCCGAGTTACTCGTCCCAGCCCTAGTGCAGACATATTCAATATTCAAGCAATATACCTTCTCAATATCAATTTCTGATGCTCCTGGCCATGTTATCTTGAATAAGTCGGCATCCATGAACGGGTCAAAATCCCCTCCGACAGAGGTAGATATCGAAAAAAGAAACATAAATGCATAGTGCGTATACAGATTCATATTGCACTTCCAACCGTTTCATTTACAACAACAATAAAATGGTTGCAGTTTACTGATGACGCGTACTGTTATCATTTGAGTTTCGTGCAGACGCCATACTTTAGGGCAGCAGTTAATAGTAGGCCCGGGCTTACGAAAATAATTACTTCCGTAAATGAAACTTGAAATATGATCATTCATACCGAGTCCTCGGTTTTCCTTCTTGACACAGCTTTGTCAATTCAGTTTGTATATACGGCTCTATATATACTATGAGTCTTAATTATCGGTCAAACAAGCCACGTTGAACTTACAGGGGTCGTATCATAGTCAAATAGGCGTAAAACCCTTTACAGTCTTATACTGAAATGCGGCTCTATATAAACTTGCCTCTGCCACAATGATAATATACTGTGGTCAGCGAGCCTGACCACCCGATCCCGTTAGTCGTTACTTACGACAAGCATTGTCTGGATAAACACTTGTTTTTTAAGACTACGGTCGACATGGCATCACCCCTAACTTGACAAGAGCAGGACCATTGTCAGTATAAAAAAACCCACGTCTCTTGAGATCAGCTTGATCGACAAACCAATGGATCCTGACACAGCTAAGGTACGCAACTCTGCACAACGAATGTTTGTCGAGTTTTAGGCCATGTCGTGCTTGTACAGACACACGGTGGCGATACATTGGATTGTTATAACTTATAACTTTGTTGTTAGAAGCTGTTTGTTTCGTGTTAGTTCCTTCTGCTCGCCAACATCATCAAAGGACGCGGCTACACTAGACTTTCCAAATTTCAAAGGAAGGGACATTGATGAAATACATTTTATCTTCTATTGTTTTTTTCTTTGATGAAATGTTTATTGTTATGAAAGTGAATGTTATTATGAAAGTTGTCATTTTGCTATCCTCATACTGTTGTCTAGGACACCGTTTGGAGAAAATCTCTAACAAGTGCATAACCAAGTTAGTTAGCCATATCTTCGACATATTACTGTACATGACTTTTCAATCTTATTAAAATAAGATCTTAGTTCTCGCTACCCCTAAACAAAGATCTGGGGACATCCCATTACGGGTCACGTCAGGCCGACCTTTCATCCGACCAATCAGAGCGTCGCTTACCAGATCATGAAAGTCACAGTCGGAATGTGATTTCTAATCATGCAACCTCGAAAACTTTAACACGGGGTATTCCGAACGATAGTTACGGTCTTAACGACTGAATCCATACAATCTAGACCATCTATTAGCCATTCCAGAATGTTCTTTTGTTCAAGTTTCAAATTTTTTATCGAGAATTTGTCAAAAGATGTTTCGAAGCGTAGTCGCCAATTTGAAATTAGTGCCGTAAAGCACGAGACATCTGCCTTCTGATTGGCTAATGTCGACTTCTTGACAGTCATTCCATTGGTCGGTCAAAGTTCGCGCAAGGTCGGTCTGACGTGACCCTTAATGGGATGGATGTGCTCAGATCTTTGTTTAGCGGTAGCGAGAAATATAAGATCTGATTTTAATGAGGTTGATGACTTTTTAGTTTGTAATACTACAAACACATCCATATATATACGAAACATGCAACTCTATTTCACTAAAACTAGGATATAGGTTACATTGCAACTGCTTACATATAATACAAAACACTGAAATAACAAGACAGTGTAGTAATAATGCATAAACAGATTAATATGGGTTCCCTTGCCCACTGAAATAAACGAAACCCCTCAAAGACAACATGTGGCATGTTCCAAGATCTACATACTGTCCATTCAAGTAAATTCCATGAAATGTCCATCGTGAATATGAACCACAATGTTTGCGACAACATATCGGTTTTATATTCACGAAATATGGGGGAGCGGCTTTCAACTAGATTAAAATCTAATGTAATGAACGTATTTTACTGAGGAAAAAAATAAAAATTGTTAAATTATCTTGATAAAATATAAGAAAAAGCCAGTTGACTTTCTTCGTTCTTGAAACTGAAGTAATCTGGACTTGCCAACTATTATAAACTTCCATTGGCTGTATGGGTGTATTTGTTTCAGGGTCTGTAGCCTATGACGGACACGTTTTCGACATGCCACTAACAGTATTTAACTTTGTGAGACGGTCCCTGGAAAAAATAGCTCTGCATTATCTATCGGATTAATTAAAATGTTTACAGAATCCGTTGATGGTTTGAATTTTTTTACGGTTTTAGCTACCATAGCTTTGATTTTAAGTTACACAAAAAATAATAATTATGACTGAGAGACGATTTTCGACGTCATAGTATTCACTGCGGTAATGAAAAATACAGGTTGTCCAAGCAAGATGGCGACTTATCTTCACCTATGTTATTTGTTGGCACTATTTACAACTGTGTTCGGACTACCAGAGCTTGGAATTTGGACGGTTAAATATGATCAGGTTAATATAAAATTCGAATTTCTTATAGATTACCAGTAAATTACTCGCATTGTCTTGTTTGTGTGGGATGTTTATGTCAACACGACCTTAATTTCTGCACTTTCATTTCACCAGTGACTTTCATCATGTTCATTGACCGGTTACTTCCTGATGATCATGTGTCATTGATACATCGTTAATCGCCGTATCAATCACAACCAATTCATTATTATCAGACTATTGTTCTGGATAATATCATGATCCACGTTACAAGACGAGGTCTGTGATTAAGAAAGCATAAACAATCACAGTCATGTGTTTTTCAGTATGTCGAGAGTCAGGGCCTTATGGTCAATGATAGTCTACTAACACGTGGAGTAGACCTACAGGCATTCGCTTGTTTCTATTAAGTCAAGTATACAATTTAGATTCACATCTTATAAATAAACAACTAATGAACATGATAACAAAAAGAAGGAGGGAGACAAGTTCTATGGTCTGTTGCTCATTTGTAATCTGTCTGTACTGGCCACCGTTGATGCTCATGATATCATTCACTGGATTGACTGGTCCAGACTCGATTATTTACAGACCTCCGTCATATAGCGGGAATATTGCTGAGTGCGGCATTAAACATGTTAAACAACAAACCAAACAACCAACTGGCCACTGACACTTCATCATATTTATTTCAGTGTCATTTCTGATATATTCGGAAGTTTAGTTTACTGTATACCTTACTTTGATTTTAATGACAAATTTACTGGAGACTTCTTCATCATCTTCATAGCCAGTTAATCTTGATTGATAGCGATTGCTGTGTGTGCATATTATCGTTGTTATATTATTGGGTTTTTTTACCACTAAATTGTAGATGCGTATCACTGAGTGGAGCTTATCATCCTTTATACTCTCAGCATGCTCAGTAACCCCTGCATCTTTGTGGCTAGGCTGATGTCATTGAGCAAAGTTTTCCAAATTGCATCTTTTGGCATGTTTGGTGTTGTGTCGTGTGTAAACTTTCTGCCATTTCTGGTACCCACTTGAGGATCCACTCTAGTCATTATGAATGCATGTACATTTGTTTGTGCATGATCCTGTAAATTAGGAAATTTTTCTTACATTGAATAGATGACAGACTTGAACACTTTTATGATTTTATGTTATGTTTAATGAAATATTTATTAGTCATCTCTTCTTTATCATTAACTAGGTACATCATGTACATATCGTGATACAGAAACGATACCGTACGTATCTCAATACTGCATATACAACATTTTAAGCGGAAAACCCAGTCATTAGTCTTTATAAGAGAGTCCACAGATTCACTTATAAAGACAAAGAAAGACAACTGACAACAGACTTATACCCATCGACATGACACTGAGTCAAGTCAACTATTCTGTATGAGTGACAAATAAGAAACATATTTACATGCTGTATAATGACAGGCAGCAATGAAAAGCTGGTCAGTCTTGTTATCATGCTGATTTCATATCCAAAAGACAACCAACAAATTTATAAGGAATAAAAAAAAATAGTGTGTACTTGCTTCTTTATCATGTTTTTTTCTATGTGAGATCAACATGGACAATCAGTGTGGGGTTGAATGTGAATCAATGCCAAATTAAGTGTATCGGGTATCGCATCGTGCAAAGTTAACCATGTTTACTGGCTGCTGTCTAGACTAACATCTAGTCTCTGAAATGAACACATTTTACAGGAAAAAAAACAGTTTTTAAATTGTAGTTATAAGATATGATAAAAAGGAGCTGAGAGACTTTCTTCATTTTCAGATACTGCAGTAATCTAGACTTGCCAAACATTATAGACTTGCATGGGCTGTATTGGGCATATTTGTTATAGGGTCTGTACGACAGACTAGCTGCTTTCTAGACTAACATTTAGTCTCTGAAATGAACACATTTTACAGAAAAAAAACAGTTGTTAAATTATGCATGTTATAGTTATAAAATATAATAAAGAGGAGCCAAAGACTTTCATCATTTTCAGACTTGCCAAACATTATAGACTTGCATGGGCTGTAATAGATATATTTGTTTCAGGGTCTGTATGCCAGACTAGCTGCTGTCATACAGCTGAAATAGTGCTTAATGTGGTGTTCAACAAACCTTTTATTGATTGAGTGAATTCTGTTTTAATACTGACAATATTCCTGTTAGTTCACAGCAGTCTATAAGTCATCAAGTATAGACCATGCAGACTAGTGGTACATTCCTGTCAGACTCTAGCTACCTCTGATGTTAAGTGGTGAAGGGGCGGTCGGGTAGCCTAGTGGTTAAAGCGTTCGCTCGTCACGCCGAAGACCCGGGTTCGATTCCCGTCATGGGTACAATGTGTGAAGCCCATTTCTGGTGTCCCCCACCGTGATATTGCTGGAATATTGCTAAAAGCGGCGTAAAACCATACTCACTCACTCACTCACTCACTGTGAAGTGGTGGTGTAGACTCCATAGATTGAATATCTATGACTGTGGCATAAAACAACATTCACTGACCCACGATTTCACTCACTCAGTTTTATTACCCTTGTGACAGCTGATGAATGATTGCAGTGGCCATGTGATGATAGTCATTGATACCTCTTTAGAAACCACAGTCAGGTCTTGCTTTCTTGAAGTAGAATGAAATACTGTAAATCTTGAAATTAATGCGTCTCCAAATACCGTATTCGACGTTATAAGCTATCACTCTAATTAGCGCCCATGGCAATATTTGCTAATATATTGGCTAGTGAACAATCCCAATTAGCACCCCTTCTGATTGTTCAATGTACACAAGAATTCGCGTATAATACACACTCGTGTGTTATATGCACCCTTAATTATGGGCAATTACGTTTGGAAAAATATATCTGTCGTGTATAAACATTTCAGACTGTCAGCATAAACCACGAAATTTATTTTTCAACTCTGTGTTTTTTCACCAAAATAATATTCTAATAAGCATGATAAGAGCCCCTTATTTCTAATTTTGAGAGCACCCTGGGCGCTTATTACGTCGAATGCAGTAAATACGACTGCTGAGCCCAAGCTGAATTAAGCAGTGAACTACTCTGATCTACTCATTGTGTCTTCGTTGGATATTTTTTTATCTGACCTTATAGTAAAAGTACAAATCAGTGATAGAATTAGGCGTCCTGTGGTCCTTGAAGTTTGCTCCAATGGTATTAATTTCAAACCCTGCAAACTTTTTGTTACCATGGTTACAGTGTTTGGTATTAACATGATTAAGCATGAAAGTCAAGTTTCCTTGTCAAAACTCTACGTTAGAGGTAATGATTTAGGGGGTCCCTGGGTCACATGATTTGGTTGGTTTGTTGTTTTTCGCCGCCCTCTGCATTATTCCAGCTATATGACGGCAGTCTGTAAATAATCGAGTCTGGACATTACAATCCAGTGATTGATATGATGAGCATCAATCTACGCAATTGGGATACGATCACATGCATCGGCCAAGTTAGCGGATCTTCACGGGTCGTATTTACCATTTATTACCCATGTGGTGAAGATACAGGTGGTAAGATACGAAATCAGTACTCACACGTGTGTCGTACAAGGTTGACCTTGTTTTATTCGTTTTGATTGGATAACCTCTGTCACACCAGGACTACTTTTTTCATTCATAAAAAATCCTGAGATGTCATTCATTTTCCAACTACAAGGCAGACCTGAAGAAATTAATAAGAACGAGAGATATTTACAAACACTTTATTAAACCAAGCAAAATAGTCACTCGCATCAAATTTGGTTTGCATTATATATAAGTTATGCATAGAGCTTCTACAGACATTATATAATCGAGCTATATCCATTTACAATGTACGACTACCGATCAATAGAGCGAGGGTCCCCATGAGCGTGACGCACCCGACCACTTTCGCAACTTTCAATTTGGTTTTACGTAAAAGGATAAGCGTTGTGAAATGAAGTCTGTTTAAACTATCTGGACAGATATCTAGACTTACTTGGGCTGATCCGGTTGTGCCATCAGTGTCCCCTTTGAAGTGTATTTTGTGGCACTGCTTCGGGAGATGTTGTTCATGAATGAACGTACACGACTGCACGACCAGATCATTAACAGTGAACAGTTCTGATACAAATCATTCGAACACTCCGTGGAAGTGTGCCTGACTTCTGATTTTGTGGCCCCAAACATCCCCAAATGTGAACAATAACATTCCCTATCTCTTGCGGAAAAAGCTGTGAGTAGATCACAGTTGTCTTTTCTTATTCCGGTGGTGACCTTGCCCTTCGTTCGTTCGAAGCTGTCACTGACATGCAAGCAGACTTGAGTTTGTTGATTTTCACGTCTTCAGTATAGGGTGGTAGAGTTAACATGAATGTCTTTGGTGAACACTCTGATTTCCCTCTTCCAAAATGGTACGGACATTATATGAATTCAGCTGATAGATCAAGGAAACAGAACCATTTTGATTGAAGAGACGGGACACTGGCAGTGCGAGTGACCGACTGTTGGTCCGATATTCAAAGCGCGGCGCTAATGTGACTTCAAATTTTCTTATAGGTGTCCTTCGTACTAACAACATGGTGCTTGAATTACCATAAGTTGAAGAATTTCTTCCAATAGGATCTTGAGCGTCAGTGCAGTTTTGTTTGCAAACACAACTGCAGGCGCATGCTGTTAATGTGTATGCCTAGGAATGTCAACAATGCCCACATTCTCGTTAGATACCATTTTTACGAAACTCGTGAACTTTCTATGGTATCTAACGAGAATGAGTGGAGTATTCTCTATGTGTTCACCATATATTCACCATGTGTTCACCATATATTCACCATGTGTTCAGCATGTAGTCACCATGTAGTCACCTTGTGTTCACCATGTAGTCACCATGTAGTTACCATGTGTTCACCATGCGTTCACCATGTGTTCACCATGCGTTCACCATGCGTTCACCATGCAGTCACCATGCGTTCACCATGCATTCACCATGTGTTCACCATGTAGTCACCATGTGGTCACCATGTGGTCACCATGCGTTCACCATGCATTCACATGTAGTCACCATGTGTTCACCATGTAGTCACCATGTAGTCACCATGTGTTCACCATGCGTTCACCATGCGTTCACCATGCGTTCACATGTAGTCACTATGTGTTCACCATGTGTTCACCATGTAGTCACCATGCATTCACCATGTAGTCACCATGTGTTCACCATGTGTTCACCATGTGGTCACCATGTGGTCACCATGCGTTCACCATGCATTCACATGTAGTCACCATGTGTTCACCATGTAGCCACCATGTAGTCACCATGTGTTCACCATGCGTTCACAATGCGTTCACCATGCATTCACATGTAGTCACTATGTGTTCACCATGTGTTCACCATGTAGTCACCATGTGTTCATGTGTTCACCATGCATTCACCATGTGTTCACCATGTAGTCACCATGTTTTCACCATGTGTTCACCATGTAGTCAGCATGTAGTCAGCATGTAGTCAGCCATGCCAACAATGGACACACATGTTCACACAGGCATGCAGCTGACGATTGGTTGACATTAGCCAGTCGAAGCTGGGTCCATGTTCAGCTGGTATTTTCCGCTGACAGTGACACAAGTGTGTGAGTCAGGCTTGTCAATAACTGCCAGCAGAAACCAGCACTTGATTGTGTGAGCGGTGAACCAGCTGTTGCCAGCAGGGGAGATACTGACTGTCACATGTTGATCAGATGATCGCTTCATTATGTTAGTAGGTTTGACAGTGTAAATCACTAAACATGCTAACAAATGAGTGTTAATGCTGGTTTAGTTAATTTAGTTTTTATCCATCTGGCATATAATGCGGGGGGATATAGCGATCAGCCAGTCTGTCTGTCCATCCGTCCGTCCGTCCGTCCGTCATACCGTCCGTAATCATTTCCTTTTCGGGGGCAGAATTCGAAAACCATTCAGTGTATTTGATCGAAACTTGGCAAATCTATCAGGCACATACTGAAGTGGTGCCTTTAAATATTTTGGGATTTACCTAATTTTTATTTTTTACAATTTTTACGGAAAGAGGTTGGACCTAGACTCCATTTGGGAATGGGTTCATTTCCGGGCCAGAATTTGAAAACCATTCAGTGGGTAAACAATGTATGCTTCTTAAAGAACATTCAACTGTTGACTCATTACATACAGAATTGCACATTTACTACAGTCCGTTTGACTCCAAATGAGAACGATGAATTGCAAAATCCAGAAAAGTGTATGAAACATCAATACGGTACTTGACCACGAATACACTGTACCCAACAAAATCTGAATTTTGTTTATTTTAAGACCCATGACGGATGAAGTTCTTTAAGAAACTATCACGTAATTTTGTATAGAAATGTGTACATGACACGTAGGGGGGACAAACCGTGGAAGGCACAGCGCAAGCACGCATGCACTGCACGTTCTGTGGTAGGGGAAATGACAGAGCGTTAGAGGGGCTGTCTCATGATAATTTCAGTCGCAATCTGACTTGCTCATGCCATAGATCATGTCATCGGAACTGCTGGTGCCTGAACCGACTGCCACTATTATAGGTGGGACTGTTGCTGGCCGTAGTCCATCTCGTGACCAATAACGTGGCTCTATCTCGTCAACGACTGTGGCCACACAACGCCTCCATGTTTCTACTGTTACCCGACCAAGGGATTTCTTTACGAGTTGTTCAACGTCTCGTAATTTGAACGTTGTGTTCTATCGTCCAACGTTCCCCTTGACGATGCCCCATACCAACTCGATTGGATTCAGGTCGCAGTGATAAGGTAGCAGTCGTAAGACAGCGTGACCCTGACCCTTGATGTAACTGTCAACTTAATACACGGGGTCAGGTTTCATAGTTTTGATGATTTCATAGAGCTGTGGTTTCGTCGCTCGAGAAGGAAAGGTAATGTTCCTCCGTTGCAGCCAAGTAACCATGTCTCCTTTACAGTTATTAGAGGTTGGAGTCTTGCTTTCTGGATCCTGCACACTATGATACGGTGCATTGTCCATGACAATGAGAGACTTGGTAGGCAAAGCAGGGACTAATTTATCTTTCACCCACTCCAGAAATACATTGCCGTTCATTTCTGTGTGGTAGTCCCTGTTGTCTTTGGCCTTGGCTCTAAAGACGAGGTCACAGTCTGGGAGAAAACCCTGACTAGCAGAACCAGCATGGAGAACTATGAGTCTTTCACCCTTTCCCATTGGTAACTTTCTACCAGACTCCTTACAGTCACCACTGGGTACCCACTGACTGCTGGCTATGTGTGACGCATTTACCCATGTCTCATCTAATAAGACGGGCTCATATCCTTCTTCACAGCCCTATTTTCTCCAGTTATCTTTTTGTATTTGTAACCAAATGTATGCAACAGGTACTTATTTTCTGAGTGCAGTTTAACAATTGCACGTCTGACTTGATCCCCCTGAAAACTCAGGATCACAGGGCACTCTTTTTAAGCTTATTGCTAAGATCGCTTTGTGGAATGAGGCTAATGAATAGATATAGAGTAAGCATGGTGATCGAAAGGTGACATTACCAGCTTAAAGTGGTTATAAGATAAGTTTCCAGAAGAGATCTTTAACATACCTTGATGAATTTCAACCAAATTCAATTTTGAGACTTCATGTAAATACAGGTGAAGTTTTGAAACAGTTACCACAAATCTGAATGTTTTTCTGCTGTCATATACCTGGAATATTGCTGAGTGCATCATAAACAGGATACAAACAAACAAATCTTAGACAGAAGATAGAAAACAACTTCTTCATTGGTTACTTTGGAAGTAATATATTTTTCTGATTTTATTTTTAGGACAATATCATTCACGGATTTACCAAGAGTGCTTTTGCTTCAACAAAGATATCAGTTGCAAGTAAGTATGTATGTATTTATGGTTTTTTAACCAGGCCTGATTGTTTTTTCTTCATCTCAAGTGATCATCAAGCTTTTGAAATTCTGTCTCTTTGTCCTCTAGACAAAGCTTGATGTCCAGGGAAAGCGTGTTGTATGTTCTACATTTGTTCACCTCCTTCTTTCATTGAAGAGTCTGGAACATTTATTTATGGAATAGACGGAATATTAACTGGTCAGCCCTTAATACTGGTCAGTCCTTAATACTAGTAAGTCCTTAATACTGGTAAGTCCAATACTGGTAAGTCCTTAATACTGGCCAGTCCTTAATACTGGTCAGTCCTTAAAACTGGTCAGTCCTTAAAACTGGTCTGTCCTTAATACTGGTTAGTCCAATACTGGTCATTCATAATACAGTTTCTGGTCAGTCCTTAATACTGGCAAGTCCTTAAAACTGGTCAGTCCTTAAAACTGGTCTGTCCTTAATACTGGCCAGTCCTTAAAGCTGGTCAGTCCTTGATACTGGTCAGTCCTTAATACTAGTCAGTCCTTAATACTAGTCAGTCCTAAATACTGGCCAGTCCTTAATACTGGTCAGTCTTGAATACTAGTCAGTCCTTAATACTAGTCAGTCTTAATACTAGTAAGTCCTTAATACTGGTCAGTCCTTAAAGCTGGTCAGTCCTTAAAGCTGGTCAGTCCTTGATACTGGTCAGTACTTAATACTGGTCAGTCCTTAATACTAGTCAGTCCTAAATACTGGTAAGTCCAATACCGGTCAGTACTTAATACTAGTCAGTCCTTAATACTAGTCAGTCCTTAACACTGGCCAGTCCTTAATACTGGTCAGTCTTGAATACTAGTCAGTCCTTAATACTAGTCAGTCCTTAATACTAGTAAGTTCTTAATACTAGTAAGTCCTTAATACTGGTCAGTCCTTAAAGCTGGTCAGTCCTTAATACTGGTCAGTCCTGAATACTAGTCAGTCCTGAATACTAGTCAGTCCTTAATACTAGTCAGTCCTTAATACTAGTCAGTCCAATACTAGTCAGTCCTGAATACTAGTCAGTCAAATACTAGTCAGTCCTTAATACTGGTCAGTCCTTAATACTGGTCAGACCTTGATACTGGTAAGTACTGGTCAGTTCTTAATACATCAGATATTTCTGTAATAACAAATTTACGCTCAGGCTGTTTTGCTCATTTTTGTACACACAATTTAAAATGATAAACAGCCTGCAGCTTTGATCTGAACAGAGACTTCATCAAGTTATTGGATTGTCCAAATTCCTGATTGACAAATTTCGGGATCGGGTGGTCAGGCTTGCTGACTTGGTTGATGCATGTCATCATATCCTGATTGTGTGGCTCAATGCTCATGATGTCAATCACTGGATTGTCTGGTCCAGACTCGATTATTTACAGACCGCCGTCATATAGCTGGAATATTGCTGAGTGCGGCGCTAAACAACAAACAGACAGTTTTTTTGTCAGAGTAAGTTCATTGATGTGTAAACTTCTGGCATTAATTTCCGTCCAAACATAAGTAATCATTCATGATTTTGTCTTCTGTTCATGTCAGCTTTAGTCAAATTCCTCAGAATGGATGTTGTCCTTTTCCTTTCCAGTATCTTGCAGCCATGCTGATAGTGTAGAAGTGATGTGGGTGATACGTTTTTCCCCGTGTGCTCAAGAGTATGATGCGGTCGAAGGTGATAAGGTCAGTGTTTGTGTTTTCCATTACCTGATAATGGGTGCAGGCTTAAACGCCACCTCGGCAAAACGTGCTGATTTCTCGGGCGAAAACGGCTACTATTTGTTGGGCGAAAACTGCTTCTATTTGTCGGGCGAAAACGGCTACTATTTGTCGGCCGAAAACGGCTACTATTTGTTGGGCGAAAACGGCTACTATTTGTTGGGCGAAAATGGCTACTATTTGTCGGGCGAAAACGGCACCTCTATTTTTAATAACAATAAGAACGATATATGTAGTTTATTCACATGCCCTATTATACTATGTTGTAATAGTGGCGGTGTTTCCCTCCCTTAAATGTGTTCTCCAACTGTTTGAACTCATTGTTATCTGACTGCACCATGTTAGGCCTCTTACAGTTTCAGATTGACATGGAGTTAATATGAGTAAGGGTACTTAAAACTTCAAACCATTTGATGTTTTCACAATAAGTTTAGTTACGCCTCCCAATCAGAGTCGATGTGTAAATTGGTCTAGAGGCTAATTTCTAATGTAAACTTGTTTTCACATTTCACAATTATAGGTGCTTGCAAGAGACCATGTGAGTTTAAATTGATTTATTTCAGTACTAAAGTTAAAAAAAATATTAGGTGGCGTCTTTGCCAGGCAAGAGTAGCCATTTTCGCTTTAGGCGAGGTGCATATTTGCCAGTTGGTGATGTAATGCTAAGGTGCCATTTTAGCTATCACCCCCTGAAACCATAAGGTCTTTGAATCTTGAATAGATCATTTCGAAAGGCATTTAGAAGTGATGCACAAAACAAGTAATTAATTATGACACGTTCCAAGAAGATACTGTTTCCTCCAATTTAACGAATGGTAAAGAATGGTTATAAGGAAGAGGATTTATGGATGCCAACCTCTTTGTTGTGAGAAACACAACGTTTGGAGGATATACTTAATCCTTCATCAGCTGCATGATGGACTGTTGTGAAGATTTTATGTCTTAGTAGGGGGCCCTTTAAAAGATTACTTCGGGATAGGTTTAGAGGTTGGTCAGGGAGCTCTTGTTAGAACAGGGTGCTTAATATGGTGAATACGGTATTTTGTATTCCTGGATGGGTTGAATGAACTTGTCATGTGGCCTTGTTTCAGAATCGTCTAATGAGCTACCTGATGGCACCTCAGATCCAGTATGGCTTGGACTTTGACTACACTACTGTTGAGATGATGCATAATACCACCACCATCGTCTGCGGAGACAGTCAAGTCAATCTACCGGTGAGTAGTCTCCCTTTGCTCAGTTGTTTCATCTTCTTGAAGCTACAGTTGAAAAACTGCAGTGTCAGTTTTCATCGAATGGTCCAACATTGCTTCTATCATGTCTTTACTCACTACTTGTGAGGGCTGTGACCTGTGTACCAGTCTGCGACATTAGGCAGTAGCCTGAAGCCTGTGTCTAGTGTCTAGTCACAGGCTGTAAGCTCAGCTAGTTATAGTCTAATAGCATCAGACTCTACAGAAAAGCCAATGAATAGGAGATCTCCTGTTCCATGACAATTATTTCCAATGAAGTGAGATCTCCTGTTCCGTGACAAGTATTGCCACGGAAGTGAGATCTCCTGTTCCGTGACAATTATTACCACAGAAGTGAGATCTCCTGTTTCATGACAGTTATTACCAATGAAGTGAGATCTTCTGTCCATGACAATTATTACCAATGAAGTGAGATCTTCTGTCCTTGACAATTATTACCACAGAAGTGAGATCTCCTGTTTCATGACAATTATTACCACAGAAGTGAGATCTCCTGTTTCATGACAATTATTACCACAGAAGTAAGATGTCCTGTTTCATGACAAGTATTACCAATGAAGTGAGATCTCCTGTTCCGTGACAAGTATTGCCACAGAAGTGAGATCTCCTGTTCCGTGACAATTATTACCACATAAGTGAGATGTCCTGTTTCATGACAATTATTACCACAGAAGTAAGATGTCCTGTTTCATGACAAGTATTACCACAGAAGTGAGATCTCCCGTTCCATGACAAGTATTACCAATGAAGTGAGATCTCCTGTTCCATGACAGTTATTACCAATGAAGTGAGATCTCCTGTTTCATGACAATTATTACCACGGAAGTGAGATCTCCTGTTCTGTGACAATTATTATCATGGAGTTTCATGACAATTATTACCAGGAAGTTGAGATCTCCAGTTCCATGTCAGACCCTGGCAGTGAAGATAAATGCAGCGCCAGGTGGACTGTAGACTTGATATATGTACAGATCAAGGATCTTGCAGTTGCTAAGGACTTCAATTTTAAAAGTTTATCAAAATAAGGCTGTAGATTTGAAATACCTTTTACACCTGAATGTTTTTTCTTGAGTCACGGGTGGTCAAGTGGTCTGAGGCACTGCAAATTGTTGGCTCTCTTTGTGTTTTGGATGATTCTGGGTTTGGACCCTAGGTTTTTACTGATTACATGTCATATTTTTTAAATACTGTTCTGACTCCATGGTCTAGTTATACCCCATTTCACCTCAGCTCACGTGAAAAACTGTTCAAAGTGGTGTTCATCCAAACTGTTTGACTCACTTATTCAAGGGTTTCCTTCGGTACAGTTTGGAACATCAGTGTCCAACCCAGACTGTGCGATTGCGCGATTCACGCTAAAAAAAAATCAAATCACCCCTCATAAAAAACTCAAAGCGCGATCTGTCGCGCACAGTAATTTCTTGTAATGTTACTTACTTTATCAGCTGTTTTTCTTACCTATCCTATCCTATCCTACCTTTAGATTCAATACTCACTAAATCTTTAATCAATTAACGAAGAAAGACAGTTCACAGCAAACATTGTAAACAACTGTCGAAGACCGTTCAATAATAACCGGAAGTTCGAACACGAGTGACGTCCCTTGGGTTGCTGAATAAATTATCGACAGGATTTGCATAGGAAACGAAATTTAATTACTTTAGTAGAAAGCGTATCAAAACTTGGATCAAAATTATGTTGTATTTTGTTGTTTAGTAATCAAAAACCTTTGACAAGATGTTAAAATACAATACATATTCTATCTTGAATAGTTCTGAAAATATTTTTGAGCATTTTAGTTCGTTTCAGTTTCGTTTCTGAAATCACACAATATGAATCGCCGACTGTCATTGCAGACGATCTTTTGAATAGTGAAAATGTCGCGCAAAAACAAAAGAATTACAGACTTTTTAAATCAAAATAGAAAAAGCACAAAGCATTGTTATTCATTTCAGTTCTTTATTCTGATCTGTTACACTTTTATATGATGATGTTCCAGTACATAATACAAAATAAGACATTTTTGAAGAAAGCAGTTATCCCCCCTACTTTTTCAAAATCCCTCCTATTTTCTACATGATGGGGGGGGACAAGTCCCCTCTTGTTTTTCAATTCTGGGTTGGACACTGGAACATATCGTGTATTTCTTGGTCAGCCCACTCAACCAGAAACTAGACCAGACTATGAGGCCGAATGATTTGTCCATATCCAAATCCATATTTTTCATAATGTGTTCTTGCTTCAGTAAAAGAACATTTTTCTTTTTTTTCAGAATTATTCGAAAATCAAGCCACAGAAATTCCCAGCTATTAAAGTGGTAAGTGTAATGATATGTCATTGTCAACATGAGTTCAGAAGCATGAAGACCCGGGGTTGAATAGGTCTTCAACAACCCATGCTTGCTGTAAAAGGCGACTATGCTTGTCGTAAGAGGCGACTAACCGGATCGTGTGGTCAGACTCTCTATCTTGGTTGACGCATGTCATCGTATCCCAATTTGAAATCACCTGATACATCGAACGTGAAAAATGGATATGGTGATACGTATCAAATGAATGAACCTCAATTTACCGATATACCGGTAATACCTCACACCCTTAGTTTCTGCAATCTCCATTACATCTTCCCAACCTAACCAGATATGCCAGCAACATGTACCAAACATTCTTACTCGTACTTACTTACTAGTGGAGATTTAATATGCTCTTTCCGACATTATGCGTATTTCGCACCGAACATACAATCACTTACCATTACTTAGCAGTTACTTAGCAATATTAGAATTTCACACACTGACAGTGTCTACATTCTTTGTCACTTTCGGTATCTAGAGTTATCTCCCTTGAAAGAGGCCTGCGCTAGCTCTTTCCCAGCGCATGACACCTTCGTTACACTCTCGGTAACATTGCCCCACCAGTGTGGATGCGGCCATTACAAGAATCTTGAAATTTGCCCTCTAACCCCAAATGTAGTAACGTTTATTCATTTGTTTATGTCTTTGGGAATGCCAATACACTTATTTGTGCAAAGGTTTACGACTGACCATATTCCCAGATGAATTTAACTTTTTGTTTGTTTGATCAGATTGGTTCGAGATTGCAGACAAACGGAAAATCACCCAAATTCCCCCTTACATTCTTACTATACCAATTACATGATAGTTGAAATGAAGTAGAAATTCAAATTGATAAACAAAGAAAATAATTTAAATAGGGTAAGAGTATTCTGCATCATGGCATGGTTGTGGCCTCCTATCACAGTGGGGAGTTTTGACTGGTGGCAGCGATAGTATAGAGAGCTCCGTGAACGGGCTATCGCTGTGAGGAGCTTAAGGTCTGTGCTCTGTCCTTGAGGCCAGTGTATTAATGGAAGCTGGCAGGAATATGGTATTTTCAGATAGGTACCCAATCCTCACTTTCTCCGTAGAGAAGATGCAAGTCAGGTTGTAAACTGCCTTGAATTGTAATCATGTTATGCTTATAATAATATAGCCAGTCTTCCAGGAACTGTATCTTCGTGAAACTTCTTGAATGATCAAGATGTCCAGTGTTTGTCAACAAGTAAGGGAGTTAACTCTAAATCACACTTCCTGTTACAATTAGCTGCTGCAGCACTCAATATTTTATGAGTGTTTCACTCATTTGCTGCCACTGACAATTGCCACAGATAACGTCACAACAATCCCATCTCCACGGCCACATGACCATGATAACAGTAGGTTATGGAACATTACATCAAAGTTACCAAGCAGTGACTGAACACTACTACATAAGACCCGTGAAGATCCGGGGTAGAATAGGTCTTCAGCAACACAAGCTTACTGTAAAAGGTAACTAAGGTTGTCGTAAGAGGCGACCAATAGGGTTGGGTGATCAGGCCCGTTGACTTGGTTGAAGCATGTCATTGTATCCCAATTGCGTGGATCGATGCTCATGACATTAATCACTGGATTGTCTGGTCCAGACTCGATTATTTACAGACCGCCGTCATATAGCTGGAATATTGCTGAGTGCGGCGTTAAACAACAAACCAACCAACCAACCAATAAAGTATGTCATCGTATCCCAATTAGGTGGATCCATGCTCGTGATGGCAATCACTGGATTGTCAGACTGGATTATTTACAGACCGCTGCCATAAAGCTGGAATATTGCTGAGTGTGGCGTTAAACAACAAACCAACCAACCAACAAACACATGACTCCACTGATGGGTGATGGAGGAACATGTGTTTAATAGCCATGGAAAATTTCCCATAGTGGGAAACTTGTCACCATTATGACCTGGGCAACTTGCACTTACTCTGTTGGGACACAAAGGAAGGGTGATGTTCTCCAGTTGTTGGTGCACGCCACTCACTCTGACGATGCAAGGCTAAATCAATGTTGGTCCGGAATGGTGTTAAATGGTACATTACTAACTTAGGTCTATAGCTGAACTGCTGGATGCTGCATACTGTTATTGTAGGTAAGAATATGCTATCTCGTTGTTGTGTATTTATTTGGATATTGTAAAACATTGGAGACCAATCCACTGACAAGTGAAGTAACTGTTACAACTGTAATTTGTGTCGTTTCAGTCATCAACTGGGTCTCCCAAAGAAGCAACTACGGCAGCAGCAGCAACTACGCCAGCTTCAAGACGGCGCAGAGCTGCAGCTGAAAACAAAGACCAGGTACACTTTTGAACTTCTAGTACTTTTCTTCTCATGTCTAAAACTGATCCAGCTTTCCTGATTTGAGTGTACACTGCTGACCATCCTGATGTAACTGTTGTATTACACTGTAGGTCAACCTGATATAACTGTTGTATTACACTGTAGGTCATCCTGATATAACTGTTGTATTACACTGTAGGTCATCCAGATATAACTTTTGTATTACACTGTAGGTCATCCTGATATAACTTTTGTATTACACTGTAGGTCATCCTGATATAACTGTTGTATTACACTGTAGGTCATCCTGATATAACTGTTGTATTACACTGTAGAGCATCCTGATATAACTTTTGTATAACACTGTAGGTCATCCTGATATAACTGTTGTATTACACTGTAGGTCATCCTGATATAACTTTTGTATAACACTGTAGGTCATCCTGATATAACTGTTGTATTACACTGTAGGTCATCCTGATATAACTGTTGTATTATACTGTAGGTCATCCTGATATAACTTTTGTATAACACTGTAGGTCATCCTGATGTAACTGTTGTATTATACTGTAGGTCATCCTGATATAACTGTTGTATTACACTGTAGGTCATCCTGATGTAACTGTTGTATTACACTGTAGGTCATCCTGATATAACTCTTGTATTACACTGTAGGTCATCCTGATATAACTGTCGTATTACATTCTGATATTTAGCAAATTGGTATCTTGTAGATATTTTTGTCTTGAGTACAATAGAATTTGTGTAGCTGTGGTATTCTTTCTTCAGAATCTAACATCCACTGCTGCCCCAGTATCTCAACATCCACCCGATGAGGTATGTAGCATCTGATTGGCCAACAATTAGACTCACATCAATGGAGACTCAACCTGTTATGGATCCACTCGTGTTTGTTCTGACCAGAATCTGTGTTGCAGTGGAAAAGGTTATGGCTTGTTAAGCATGTGTTTCATGTGTTGTAGGTTGACCAGCATATGTTTCATGTGTTGTAGGTTGACCACCATGTGTTTCATGTGTTGTAGGTTGACCACCATGTGTTTCATGTGTTGTAGGTTGACCACCATGTGTTTCATGTGTTGTAGGTTGACCACCATGTGTTTATTGTGTTGTAGGTTGACCACCATGTGTTTATTGTGTTGTAGGTTGACCACCATGTGTTTATTGTGTTGTAGGTTGACCACCATGTGTTTATTGTGTTGTAGGTTGACCACCATGTGTTTCATGTGTTGTAGGTTGACCACCATGTGTTTATTGTGTTGTTGGTTCACCACCATGTGTTTATTGTGTTGTAGGTTGACCACCATGTGTTTCATGTGTTGTAGGTTGACCACCATGTGTTTCATGTGTTGTAGGTTGACCACCATTTGTTTATTGTGTTGTTGGTTCACCACCATGTGTTTATTGTGTTGTAGGTTGACCACCATGTGTTTCATGTGTTGTAGGTTGACCACCATGTGTTTCATGTGTTGTAGGTTGACCACCATGTGTTTATTGTGTTGTAGGTTGACCACCATGTGTTTATTGTGTTGTTGGTTCACCACCATGTGTTTCATGTGTTGTAGGTTGACCACCATGTGTTTATTGTGTTGTAGGTTGACCACCATGTGTTTCATGTGTTATAGGTTGACCACCATGTGTTTATTGTGTTGTAGGTTGACCACCATGTGTTTCATGTGTTGTAGGTTGACCACCATGTGTTTATTGTGTTGTTGGTTCACCACCATGTGTTTCATGTGTTGTAGGTTGACCACCATGTGTTTATTGTGTTGTAGGTTGACCACCATGTGTTTCATGTGTTGTAGGTTGACCACCATGTGTTTATTGTGTTGTAGGTTGACCACCATGTGTTTCATGTGTTGTAGGTTGACCACCATGTGTTTCATGTGTTGTAGGTTGACCACCATGTGTTTATTGTGTTGTAGGTTGACCACCATGTGTTTATTGTGTTGTAGGTTGACCACCATGTGTTTCATGTGTTGTAGGTTGACCACCATGTGTTTCATGTGTTGTAGGTTGACCACCATGTGTTTCATGTGTTGTAGGTTGACCACCATGTGTTTATTGTGTTGTTGGTTCACCACCATGTGTTTATTGTGTTGTAGGTTGACCACCATGTGTTTCATGTGTTGTAGGTTGACCACCATGTGTTTATTGTGTTGTTGGTTCACCACCATGTGTTTATTGTGTTGTAGGTTGACCCCCATGTGTTTCATGTGTTGTAGGTTGACCACCATGTGTTTATTGTGTTGTAGGTTGACCACCATGTGTTTATTGTGTTGTTGGTTCACCACCATGTGTTTATTGTGTTGTAGGTTGACCACCATGTGTTTATTGTGTTGTAGGTTGACCACCATGTGTTTCATGTGTTGTAGGTTGACCACCATGTGTTTATTGTGTTGTTGGTTCACCACCATGTGTTTATTGTGTTGTAGGTTGACCACCATGTGTTTCATGTGTTGTAGGTTGACCACCATGTGTTTATTGTGTTGTAGGTTGACCACCATGTGTTTCATGTGTTGTAGGTTGACCACCATGTGTTTATTGTGTTGTAGGTTGACCACCATGTGTTTATTGTGTTGTAGGTTGACCACCATGTGTTTTTTGTGTTGTAGGTTGACCACCATGTGTTTCATGTGTTGTAGGTTGACCACCATGTGTTTCATGTGTTGTAGGTTGACCACCATGTGTTTATTGTGTTGTAGGTTGACCACCATGTGTTTCATGTGTTGTAGGTTGACCACCATGTGTTTCATGTGTTGTAGGTTGACCACCATGTGTTTATTGTGTTGTAGGTTGACCACCATGTGTTTATTGTGTTGTAGGTTGACCACCATGTGTTGATTGTGTTGTAGGTTGACCACCATGTGTTGATTGTGTTGTAGATTGACCACCATGTGTTCGCGCAGCTGTGGAAAGATGGCTACTATCTCTTCGTGCTGCAGCTGCAACCACTCCCCTTTAACAAATCCAAGGATTTCCAAGCTGATGGTAAGTGGCAAACCTTCCCTTTGACGACTCCCTCCTATGTATGTATGTATGTATGTATGTATGTATGTATGTATGTATGTATGTATGTATGTATGTAATGTTATGTTATGTTATGTTATGTTATGTTATGTTATGTTATGTTATGTTATGTTATGTTATGTTATGTTATGTTATGTTATGTTATGTTAATTAATGTTTGTTATGTTATGTACATTAAGGTTTATGTTATGTTATGTTATGTTATGTACATTAATGTTTATGTTATGTTATGTTATGTTATGTTATGTTATGTTATGTTATGTTATGTCATCGTGTCACAATCTATGCTCATGATGTCAATCACTGGATTGTCTGGTCCAAACGCGATTATTTACAGACCGCCATCATACAACTGTAATATTACTGTGTACAGCGTTAAACAACAAACAAAGCAATGATTGTACTTTTGAAATACTGCTTTTATTCCCTGACAGTGACCGTCCGAATGCCAGGCCCCCATGGCTACATCTCAGCAGTGGAGTTCCCGCTGGAAATCGTAAATATTTTGCAATTTCAAATCAGGCTGAAATGTCTCGCAATTTTTATGCATGATACTATCATTCGATCAGAGAGAACATCTTCGAAAGGCTATTGAACTTAATGGACTTGCTTTTAGCTTAGAGATTAGGAATGTACCAGTGAATGTTAGCAAAATATTATCACAAGTCTCTGTCAGTATATGAATTTAAGGAACAGCTAAGTGTTACCTGAGAACAGAGATTTAATACATCCTTAAACATATTTTCCATTTCACACTTTTGATAAGCTTGATGTTATGTAAATTAAATTTAAAATTTTGGCTACAAGTTCATGTGAAAAGTATTGTTGAAGATATTTCGATGTGGTAACTTTGACTGTGACTCTTGCCTTCTTGTGTGGTGAGATGCGTTGTACAGTCCCCTTTGTGTTATAGTTCTACGGCATCATGGGCCTGGTGTATATTGTGTATGGCCTGGTCTGGCTCGGGCTGCTGGCCTGCAATTGGCGCGATCTGCTTCGTGTACAGTTCTGGATCGAGGGGGTCATTGTTCTAGGTAGGTAGTTTCTTGATAAACATAGAGTATGGGAGACCAGTGAAAATCCGGGTTAGAATTGGTCTTCAGTTACCCATGCTTGTCGTAAAAAGCGACTATGCTGTCCTAACAGGCGACTAATGGGTCGGCGTGAAGACTCCGAGGTAGAATAGGTCTTCAGCAACCCATGTTTTCCCTAAAAGGTGATTATGCTTGTCGTAAAAGGCGACTAACGGGATCGGGGGGTCAGGCTCGCTGACTTGGTTGATGCATGTCATCGATCCCAATTGAGTGGATCGATGCTCATGACATTAATCACTGGATTGTCTGGTCCAGACTCGATTATTTACAGACTGCCGTCATATAGCTGGAATATTGCTGAGTGCGGCGTTAAACAACAAACCAACCAACCAACCAACTAACGGGTCGGGTGGTCGGGCTCACTGACATGGTTGATGTCATTGTATCCCAGTTATGTAGATTGATGCTCATGATGTCAGTCACTAGATTGATTGGTCCTGACGCGATTATTTACAAACCACTGTCATATTGCTAAGCGTTAAACAACAAACAAACATTGAGTATCGGGATGTTAGGGAGCCCAAAGGTTGAACAATTACTCGTCGTGGGTATCATGTGTGAGGCTTAGTGGTCTGCAGCAACTTGTTCTGCAAGTTGTGTCCCTTTGCTCCCAGGATCTGCTGATCTGCTGACCTGCTTGATAATTAGTCAGGACCTTATTATTTGTTTTGTTTTTATGCCCAGCGATCTATTGCTTTTCATAAGAGGCGATTCCGCTGGATTTGCTGGTCAGACTTGTGACTTGGTCTGGTCCACACTCGATTATTTACAGACCGCCGCTATATAGCTGGAATATAGCTGAGTTAGGCGTTAAAGAACAAACAAACAAACAAACAAACAAACCTGTACTCCTACATTGCAGGCATGTTGGAGAAGGCTGTGTTCTTCGCAGAATATGAGAGTATAGCCAAGAGTGGACTGTCAGGTAGGTTGGTCATACTCCATCTTCCTGAGGCAAGGGAGTTAACTGACTGTAAAAGTCCAGTATTGACCCTTGCCTAACTAGGTTGGAATTTCTGGGCTCTATCGTAGCACCACCAGTGGTTATGATGAGTTACGTCCCTTCTATGTCCCTCCTATTGTCCAATCAGATTCAACCCCTTATATCAATTGCATTTGCTTCAAACAAAATGGTGGGCCCAGTCAAGATGATCTTATTGATAATCCAAATCATTTTTATGATATAAAGGGTCTTATTTCGCGAAGTACATCCAATCACGTGAGCACCTTGTTTAAAACATGAAAAGATTGGGAAAATATCTGTTGACGCGGAGTTGGAGGTACGCATGCTTTGGGAATCCTGCAGTTGATCAAAATCTGCATAGCAGTTTAAGAACCGGATGTCGATTCATTACGCGATTTTGATTGGACTATGCATAGACTGGTTAGTCCAGCGAAACTATAACTCCATAATTGCAGCCTAGTTCGTCAAGGGTGGAAACTGGACTTTTATAGTCAGTTAACTCCTTTGCCTCGGGCAGCTGGCCATACTCAGGTGGGTTTCATCCTTCACACTGCAGAGATATATCTAGACATGCTTCAGACCCAATTATGCAGCATATGTCAGTAAAAATTCCCAAATTGGAATTTTCCCAATTCATGCTTTTATATATAGTTACAACTAATGATATGGCTGCATAGAGGTGACTTGTGTTGCACTGACAACAGGACCAGTAAGGAAGAAGAGGCTTTGATGCTTAGTTTGACATTATTGCTTTGAATGTAGTTTTAGAATTTAATGTTGCAACTAAATTTAGGACACAAATCCCAATTTTGAACAAAATGACAATGTTTTCCCAATTTACCTGCCAAGGTGTTCATAGACGTCGTGGGTGGAAGGTACTGCGACACTCTGAGCCCAAGGTGTTTGTGGTATTATGTACTGTGAAAGTCTAACATGTTGATCAATTGATCAATTACCTGTGACACAGACATGCACTGTATTTGTTTGTTAGGTCGAAGGGTTTTCTGCTTACTCACGATAATATTGGACACCAGGTCAGTTACCAAAGTACATCTCTCACAGTGAATATGGATTTCTACTATGGCATGGTTCACTGTCCAATTCTCGACAGAAAACCTATCCTTTTTGAGAACAATCAACGCACCTTTGCCCCCACAAGAGAGACTGTTTCCTTGAGGAGGTAGAGTGTTTACCCTCTTATGGTAGCCATGTTTCATGAAATGGCCATGTTTCATAGGTAGCCATGTTTTATGAAATGGCCATGTTTCATAGTAGCCATGTTTCATGAGATGGCCATGTTTCATAGGTAGCCATGTTTCATGAAATAGCCATGTTTTATAGGTAGCCATGTTTCAAAATGTGTTTATTTTACTTGTCCAGTGAATGGAGCTATCATTGTTGCTGAGCTTGTGTCGTCCATGAAGCGAGCACTGGCCAGGATGCTGGTTATCGTCGTCAGCCTCGGTTTCGGAATTGTCAAGTGAGTTGGAGAGTGCAGATATTGTTATTCTAGTCAGGGCTTATTGTTCTGCTTCTCAAACGAGGTGTGATGTTGCAATCTTCATTATATTCTAACTGTAACGGTTCAGGGGGTGGGTATTGGGGTACAGCTCTGGTAGCGAATTGTGGATCACTCCCAATACCACCAACCACACAGTTTTAATTATTTAATTTTTTTAAGAATAATTTCACAATTAAGAATTGCACAATAAGATTTATTAATTTACAAGAATATAATTATTCTTTTCAGTATTTCATTCAGTTAGGAAGATGTACAATAAATATAAAATACTTGAATGTCAACTCACATATCTCGGCTCGAACCGGCTTTCACTCTCGTATCAGAAAAAGTACAACTGATCAAACTGTCAACAAAGTGACGTCATACCGGAAGTAGTCTCTCGCACGAGGATACGGTCGGTGGAACGTGGGGAAATTGCACTCCACCAGTGACAGAAGTTATTTTACTTCGAGTCACGGCTGTGTAGTAATATACAATGCATTTAGATGGACTAGATGCACTTTTGTAGCCATACAAGGCTGATTTAAGCCATTATGCAACAAGAAGTAGTTTCGTGGAACAGACTCACGAATATAGGTGACGTCACACGAACTATCACGTTGCCAAATCGAAACAGGTGATTTAGAACGTGTTCCCATTTTGTTTTTGCACATTTAACAAACAGTCAGTAAGATCAGTGGTGATATACGTTAATTCATGTAGCAATAACGTATATCTTTACGGTATGCTGTATCACATACAACATATACAATATGATTCATCTCACTGTCTACTGACCGAAATGTACAAAAGGCTTGTACATTAAATCACCCATCCGGCCACCTGACTGAATCTGTTCCCTCACTGGTCCTAACACCCACCTGTTTACTCACTGCAACAAATGTTAGCCACCGAGGCTTCCACAAAAATGAAAGTCCGACAACTGGTAGTCTAGATCAGTGGCTGAATGGGTTAGATTGCTGACTTTGGGTGCTGGCGATTAGGTGCCTCACTCTGGCAGTGTGGGTTCGAATCCCGGACGGGACTCAACCCCCCAAAAGTACGAGAATCTGTACTTTACTAAGAAAGTGTTATCCCTAATATAACATTTGTTACATTTGACCGCTTTCTAAATGGCATTGTGTGTTCATTGTTTACTCACTTACTAAGCTGTCACCAAAACACTCGCCCAGCCACCCATGTCATTCATTAGAATTTACTTGAAAACATAGTTAACACTGAAGGTTAATTATGCCCCGCCACAAAGTTGAAGGGGGATATATCCGTTCATCCATATGTCCATCATGTTTTATTTCCGGAGCAGAACTAAAAAACCTCGAGAGTTATCTTAACCAAACTTGGTACATAGATAGGTCTTGTGGTGAATTTATTTTTAGAGTTTCCATGGCAAAGACTTTGACTAAAAATGGTGGTAGTGTTCCTTTCCAGAGCAGTTGTTGAAAACCGTACACTATTTCTTCACCAATCTTGGCACATAGATAGGTCTTGTGGTATACTGGTACCTTTTGATAGTTTGGGATTTAAATATTATTATTTTTTTTCAAGTTTCCATAGCAGCGACTTTGACTTAGACTGAAAATGGCGCTAGTGCTCGTTTCCGGAGCAGATCTTGAAAACCGTACACTATTTCCTGCTTTGCACACAACCGGACATGTCATATTGACTGGGGATATGATTATTTCATGCTTGTTGTTGTAATGGACATGTGTCTGTATGTATGTATGTTGTTGGTGCTGCAGACCGCGTCTGGGGGAGACTTTCCACAAGGTGCTGTGTGTGGGTGTCATGTACTTCACGCTGGGCTCCATCGAAGGCTGCATGAGAGCTCTGAAGGTAGGCACTCTTATTTAAAGGAACGTTTGTGGTATGCCAGTGTCTAAGTGGATGGTTTGTTCATGGTATGCTGATGATATATTGATGATATACTTATGCAGTGTTTGTAATTTAACATGAAAGTTCTTGTCAAAACTCTAAAGTTAAAGATAAATATTTGGGGGGTGCCTTGATTCAAATATATGAAGTAGCTATGTGATAAATCGCAAAGAACAAAGAAGAATGAGCTGTGTTTATTTTATGATAAAATGTTCTATCATGATATCACTTCTGGAGATTTGAACATGCGCTGGCAACAGTTCTATTGAGGGAGTCATTATTTAAATACAGGTATATATTTATAAAACTTGTACATTTTATCATCATCTTTAGAGCAGGTGTAAATGTTTTTTTATCCCTTCAGTGTTTTATTGTACAATAAACAACCCTCACTCATCGTTTATTTCTTAAACCATAGGAGCCATGATGGTATACTGATGGTATGTTGATATGTTGATGGTATCCTGAGGTGTGGTGATTCTTGTTGCAGCCCAAGAGTGACCAGTCCAACGAGTTGATGCTAGCGGCTGTACCACTAGCTGTCTTGGATGCAGTCATCTGCTGGTGGATATCCTTTACCAACTGATGTAAACTACCGTATTCGACGTAATAAGCACCCAGCTCTAATAATGGGTTTTCTTTGGCTCCCACGACTGTTGCTAAACCTTGCTTCTGATATGTGTTGTCAAAATGGTTGGCACTCTGATTATGAGGTCTGTTATAGGATTTGATTGGCATCCCTTTAGCCTGTACAGGAATAGTTTAAGCAGCGGTAGAAACTGACAGTTTTAGTCCAATAGTCCTTATAATAATAAAATATAGCAAAAACCTCCAAAAGGGCAAAAATGCTACACGTCCTTATGATACCTTAACTATTGGGCAGTTTGGCAAGGACTACAGGACTAGTGCCAATTTCTAATGCTGGTTTAAGTCAAACTAGGTATTTTCTAAACTGAGATTATCACCTCGGTAGTAATGTAATAAGACTTTTGAGGTCATGTGTCCGGTAACTGTGTGGTATTTCAGAATTTAGTTATAGTTTAAACTTTGCCAGATCTGGAATCCTACTTTAATTTTGCTGCCTATGTTGTTGGAGACACTGAGGGATGTGTTTGCTTTTGTACTGTAGAGAGCCTGGTGAGACTAGACTTGCTTCTGTAGCTGTCCCAACTTTTGTACTGTAGAGAGCATGGTGAGACTAGACTTGCTTCTGTAGCTGTCCCAACTTTTGTACTGTAGAGAGCATGGTGAGACTAGACTTGCTTCTGTAGCTGTCCCAACTTTTGTACTGTAGAGAGCATGGTGAGACTAGACTTGCTTCTGTAGCTGTCCCAACTTTTGTACTGTAGAGAGCATGGTGAGACTAGACTTGCTTCTGTAGCTGTCCCAACTTTTGTACTGTAGAGAGCCTGGTGAGACTAGACTTGCTTCTGTAGCTGTCCCAACTTTTGTACTGTAGAGAGCATGGTGAGACTAGACTTGCTTCTGTAGCTGTCCCAACTTTTGTACTGTAGAGAGCATGGTGAGACTAGACTTGCTTCTGTAGCTGTCCTAACTTTTGTACTGTAGAGAGCATGGTGAGACTAGACTTGCTTCTGTAGCTGTCCCAACTTTTGTACTGTAGAGAGCATGGTGAGACTAGACTTGCTTCTGTAGCTGTCCTAACTTTTGTACTGTAGAGAGCCTGGTGAGACTAGACTTGCTTCTATAGCTGTCCCAACTTTCGTCCCTCTTGTCATGTCAGGTCATGTCAGGTCATGTCAGGTCATGTCGGCTATGTATGTTTCCTTGACTGCACATACATTTTCTCAAGCCTTGTCCAGACCACCAGGACCCTGAGACTGAGAAGGAACATCGTGAAACTCTCTCTCTACAGACACTTCACAAACACCCTCATATTTGCTGTGCTAGGTAAGAATTCACATATTGAAGCACTCTCTCTATAGACACTTCACAAACACCCTCATATTTGCTGTGCTAGGTAAGAATTCACATATTGAAGCACTCTCTCTATAGACACTTCACAAACACCCTCATATTTGCTGTGCTAGGTAAGAATTCACATATTGAAGCTCTCTCTATAGACACTTCACAAACACCCTCATATTTGCTGTGCTAGGTAAGAATTCACATATTGAAGCACTCTATCAATAGACACTTCACAAACACCCTCATATTTGCTGTGCCAGGTAAGAATTCACATATTGAAGCACTCTCTCTATAGACACTTCACAAACACCCTCATATTTGCTGTGCTAGGTAAGAATTCACATATTGAAGCACTCTATCAATAGACACTTCACAAACACCCTCATATTTGCTGTGCTAGGTAAGAATTCATATATTGAAGCGCTCTATCTATAGACACTTCACAAACACCCTCATATTTGCTGTGCTAGGTAAGAATTCACATATTGAAGCACTCTATCAATAGACACTTCACAAACACCCTCATATTTGCTGTGCTAGGTAAGAATTCACATATTGAAGCACTCTATCAATAGACACTTCACAAACACCCTCATATTTGCCGTGCTAGGTAAGAATTCACATATTGAAGCACTCTATCAATAGACACTTCACAAACACCCTCATATTTGCTGTGCTAGGTAAGAATTCATATATTGAAGCACTCTATCAATAGACACTTCACAAACACCCTCATATTCACAAAGACAGAATAGCTGGCTGTAATCTTTACTCCAGTAGTAACTCAGAAAAACATGGGAAATTTCAGACGGGGTCACAAGAAGAATTGCTTGGTTCCAGGGTTGCTATTGAGACCTTGTTCTTGTGTTTGCAGCTTCCATTGCCTACATGATCTGGTCCATCACACAGCACAAGATGAAGGCATGCATCACGGTGAGGCCAGGACACTTGTTCCCATGGTTACAGTGGTCTGGCACAGTGGTGATGCACGATTGATGCTAATGTGTCATCATTAACTGTTGCTATCTGATGATCACAATAAAGACAAATGATGAAATGCTGGTACTGACCTGATCACAATTAGGACTGACAAATTGTAGTCACTGATCACAATAAGGACTGACAAATGATAGTCAATGATCACAATAAGGACTGACAAATGATAGTCACTGATCACAATAAGGACTGACAAATGATAGTCGCTGATCACAATTAGGACTGACACATGATAGTCGCTGATCACAATAAGGACTGACAAATGATAGTCGCTGATCACAATAAGGACTGACAAATGATAGTCAATGATCACAATAAGGACTGACAAATGATAGTCACTGATCACAATTAGGACTGACAAATGATAGTCGCTGATCACAATTAGGACTGACACATGATAGTCGCTGATCACAATAAGGACTGACAAATGATAGTCACTGATCACAATAAGGACTGACAAATGATAGTCACTGATCACAATAAGGACTGACAAATGATAGCCACTGATCACAATAAGGACTGACAAATGGTAGTCAATGATCAAAATAAGGACTGACAAATGATAGTTGATCACAATAAGGACTGACAAATGATAGTCACTGATCACAATAAGGACTGACAAATGATAGTCAATGATCACAATAAGAACTGACAAATGATAGTCACTGATCACAATAAGGACTGACAAATGGTAGTCACTGATCAAAATAAGGACTGACAAATGATAGTTGATCACAATAAGGACTGACAAATGATAGTCACTGATCACAATAAGGACTGACAAATGATAGTCACTGATCACAATAAGGACTGACAAATGATAGTCAATGATCACAATAAGGACTGACAAATGATAGTCAATGATCACAATAAGGACTGACAAATGATAGTCACTGATCACAATAAGGACTGACAAATGATAGTCGCTGATCACAATTAGGACTGACAGATGATAGTCGCTGATCACAATAAGGACTGAAAAATGAAAGTCAATGATCACAATAAGGACTGAGAAATAATAGTCAATGATCACAATAAGGACTGACAAATGAAAGTCGCTGATCACAATAAGGACTGACAAATGATAGTCGCTGATTACACAATAAGGACTGACAAATGATAGTCAATGATCACTATAAGGACTGACAAATGAGAGTCAATGATCACAATAAGGACTGACAAATGATAGTCAATGATCACAATAAGGACTGAGAAATAATAGTCAATGATCACAATAAAGACTGACAAATGATAGTCACTGATCACAATAAGGACTGACAAATGATAGTTGCTGATCACAATTAGGACTGACAAATGATAGTCGCTGATCACAATAAGGACTGACAAATGATAGTCAATGATCACTATAAGGACTGACAAATGAGAGTCAATGATCACAATAAGGACTGACAAATGATAGTCACTGATCACAATAAGGACTGATAAATGATAGTTGCTGATGACAATAAGGACTGACAAATGATAGTCAATGATCACTATAAGGACTGACAAATGAGAGTCAATGATCACAATAAGGACTGACAAATGATAGTCAATGATCACAATAAGGACTGAGAAATAATAGTCAATGATCACAATAAGGACTGACAAATGATAGTCACTGATCACAATCAGGACTGACAAATGATAGTCGCTGATCACAATAAGGACTGACAAATGATAGTCAATGATCACAATAAGGACTGACAAATGAGAGTCAATGATCACAATAAGGACTGACAAATGATAGTTGATCACAATAAGGACTGACAAATGATAGTCACTGATCACAATAAGGACTGATCAATGATAGTTGATCACAATAAGGACTGACAAATGATAGTCACTGATAACAATAAGGACTGACACATGATAGTCGCTGATCACAATTAGGACTGACAAATGATAGTCGCTGATCACAAAAAGGACTGACAAATGATAGTTGCTGATCACAATTAGGACTGACAAATGATAGTTGCTGATCACAATTAGGACTGACAAATGATAGTCGCTGATCACAATAAGGACTGACAAATGATAGTCGCTGATCACAATAAGGACTGACAAATGGTAGTCACTGATCAAAATAAGGACTGACAAATGATAGTTGATCACAATAAGGACTGACAAATGAGAGTCAATGATCACAATAAGGACTGACAAATGATAGTTGATCACAATAAGGACTGACAAATGATAGTCACTGATCACAATAAGGACTGACCAATGATAGTTGATCACAATAAGGACTGACAAATGATAGTCACTGATAACAATAAGGACTGACACATGGTAGTCGCAGATCACAATTAGGACTGACAAATGATAGTCGCTGATCACAAAAAGGACTGACAAATGATAGTTGCTGATCACAATTAGGACTGACAAATGATAGTCGCTGATCACAATAAGGACTGACAAATGATAGTCGCTGATCACAATAAGGACTGACAAATGATAGTCGCTGATCACAATAAGGACTGACAAATGATAGTCGCTGATCACAATTAGGACTGACAAATGATAGTCACTGATCACAATAAGGACTGACAAATGATAGTCGCTGATCACAATAAGGACTGACAAATGATAGTCGCTGATCACAATAAGGACTGACAAATGATAGTCGCTGATCACAATAAGGACTGACACATGATAGTCGCTGACCACAATAAGGACTGACAAATGATAGTCAATGATCACAATAAGGACTGAGAAATAATAGTTGCTGATCACAATTAGGACTGACAAATGATAGTCAATGATCACAATAAGGACTGACAAATGATAGTTGCTGATCACAATTAGGACTGACAAATGATAGTCGCTGATCACAATAAGGACTGACAAATGATAGTCAATGATCACAATAAGGACTGACAAATGATAGTCGCTGATCACAATAAGGACTGACAAATGATAGTCGCTGATCACAATAAGGACTGACAAATGATAGTCGCTGATCACAATAAGGACTGACAAATGATAGTCGCTGATCACAATAAGGACTGACAAATGATAGTCAATGATCACAATAAGGACTGACAAATGATAGTTGATCACAATAAGGACTGACAAATGATAGTTGCTGATCACAATAAGGACTGACAAATGATAGTCGCTGATCACAATAAGGACTGACACATGATAGTCAATGATCACAATAAGGACTGACAAATGATAGTCAATGATCACAATAAGGACTGAGAAATAATAGTCAATGATCACAATAAGGACTGACAAATGATAGTCACTGATCACAATAAGGACTGACAAATGATAGTCAATGATCACTATAAGGACTGACAAATGATAGTCAATGATCACTATAAGGACTGACAAATGAGAGTCAATGATCACAATAAGGACTGACAAATGATAGTCAATGATCACAATAAGGACTGAGAAATAATAGTCAATGATCACAATAAGGACTGACAAATGATAGTCACTGATCACAATAAGGACTGACAAATGATAGTTGCTGATCACAATTAGGACTGACAAATGATAGTCGCTGATCACAATAAGGACTGACAAATGATAGTCAATGATCACTATAAGGACTGACAAATGAGAGTCAATGATCACAATAAGGACTGACAAATGATAGTCAATGATCACAATAAGGACTGAGAAATAATAGTCAATGATCACAATAAGGACTGACAAATGATAGTCACTGATCACAATAAGGACTGACAAATGAAAGTCGCTGATCACAATAAGGACTGACAAATGATAGTCAATGATCACAATAAGGACTGACAAATGAGAGTCAATGATCACAATAAGGACTGACAAATGATAGTTGATCACAATAAGGACTGACAAATGATAGTCACTGATCACAATAAGGACTGACCAATGATAGTTGATCACAATAAGGACTGACAAATGATAGTCACTGATCACAATAAGGACTGACAAATGATAGTCGCTGATCACAATTAGGACTGACAAATGATAGTCGCTGATCACAATAAGGACTGACACATGATAGTCGCTGATCACAATAAGGACTGACAAATGATAGTCGCTGATCACAATTAGGACTGACAAATGATAGTCAATGATCACAATAAGGACTGACACATGATAGTCGCTGATCACAATAAGGACTGACAAATGATAGTCAATGATCACAATAAGGACTGAGAAATAATAGTCAATGATCACAATAAGGACTGAAAAATGATAGTCGCTGATCACAATAAGGACTGACAAATGATAGTCGCTGATCACAATAAAGACTGACAAATAATAGTCAATGATCACAATAAGGACTGACAAATGATAGTCGCTGATCACAATCAGGACTGACAAATGATAGTCGCTGATCACAATAAGGACTGACAAATGATAGTCGCTGATCACAATAAGGACTGACAAATGATAGTCGCTGATCACAATAAGGACTGACAAATGATAGTCGCTGATCACAATAAGGACTGACAAATGATAGTCACTGATCACAATAAGGACTGAGAAATAATAGTCAATGATCACAATAAGGACTGACAAATGATAGTTGCTGATCACAATAAGGACTGACAAATGATAGTCGCTGATCACAATAAGGACTGACAAATGATAGTCACTGATCACAATAAGGACTGACAAATGATAGTCGCTGATCACAATAAGGACTGACAAATGATAGTCGCTGATCACAATTAGGACTGACAAATGATAGTCAATGATCACAATAAGGACTGACAAATGATAGTCGCTGATCACAATAAGGACTGACAAATGATAGTCGCTGATCACAATAAGGACTGACAAATGATAGTCGCTGATCACAATAAGGACTGACAAATGATAGTCGCTGATCACAATAAGGACTGACAAATGATAGTCAATGATCACAATAAGGACTGACAAATGATAGTTGATCACAATAAGGACTGACAAATGATAGTTGCTGATCACAA